TCTCAGGAAGAGAGGATGCATGAGGCTCATGTCCATATGGGTTCTTAATACTTAAGACAGAAGTAGCCAATGAGAAGCCCTGGACATTGGCCAACAGCATTGTAACTAATAGAGCCTCTGTGTGTTATTTGGGTTGATGTGGCTCAGGGACCAGGCTGGCAGGAAGAATGCTCATTACAACCATGGAAACAAATCTGGGCATGTATGTGTGATTCTTTCTACTTTATGTCCAGTGAAGTGTCAATACCCATCGTAACATGGATGGGAGCATTCCATGGGCTAAGGACCTGTGAACAAGATGTGATCAGTCCCCTGCTTCTCCTCTAGCCAACTGTCCCCATGATGGACTGTATCCCCTAGAACTGGGAGCCAAACACACCTTTCCTTCCTAAAGCTGTTTTGTCAAATATTGTCACAGCAATAAGAGAAGTAACTAGCACCATAAAATTGTTTCTTTTTCTGTTTGTTTGCTTTTTTTTAATACAGGGTTTAGTATAGCCTTGGCTGACCTTGAACTCATTCATAGCCAAGGATCCTTCACCTTCTGCTCCTCCTGCCTCTACCTCCGGATTATAGGGACTGCAGACATGTACCACCAAGCCTGTTTTTATACAGTGCTAGGGACTGAAGCCAGAGCTTTACAAGAGCTGTACAAGCACTCCAAACCTACTCAACCATATCCCCAGCCCAGTAAAAAGGTTTCTAAGGATGGGTGGTAGCCCAGTCCATACTTGCCTTGTGAGCATAAAGACCAGCATTCAACCCACAATACCAACATTTTGGAAAGAAAAAAGCCAGAAGCTGGCTCAGTGGATAAAGTATTTGCCCTAGAAGCCTGATGACCTGAGTTCCATCTCCAGAACCCATGTCAAAGTAGAAGAGAACCCATATGCACACACATGTAAGGCATAGTAATGCTAATGGACTAGACACTGTGAATGTAATTCTTACCTGATAATTGTTCTTATTGTGCATGGTGTCACTTGCACATGTTAGAGTTAAAACCTTTCTTTTTTATTTAGACAGGAAGGGGGAAATGCTGTGGAATATTTGTACACTGTGTGAGATATATTGCTGTGATTGATTTAATAAAAAGCTGAATGGCCAATAGCTAGGCAGGAGGTATAGGCGGGACTTTGGGAGACAGAGAGGATGCTGGGAAAAAGAAGGCAGACACACCAGGAGATGCAGAGCAAGCAGTATGGACAGTATGGAGATGAAATAATTAAGCCACAAGACGGACAGCAAATTAATAGAAGTGGGTTAATTTAAGTTATAAGAGCCAGTTAGAAACAAGCTTAAGCTAAGGCTCAGCTTTCATAACTAATACAAGTCTCCATGTTTTTATTTCTATTAATTTACTTTCTGTCTCCTGACTTTATTGCCTCACCTCCATACAGCCCACCCTGTCTCCCAAAAGCCCTGCCTATACCTCCTGCCTCCTGCAATTCAGGTTTTTATTAAACCTATCAAGTGACACATCTTCACACAGTGTACAAATATCCCACACCAAGCTGGGCATTGGTGGCACACACCTTTAATCCCAGCACTCGGGAGGCAGAGGCAGGTGGATCTCTGTGAGTTCAAGGCCAGCCTGGTCTACAGAGTGAGTTCCAGGACAGCCTCCAAAATAATACAGAGAAACCCTGTCTTGAAAAACCAAAAAAAAAATCCTACACCATATATATACATATATATGATATTACATATATTCAGGCATAGTGGCATGTGTTTGTAATCCCACTGCTGGAAGGTAGAGACTGGTAGACACCTAGTGTTCACTGGCTAGTAAATCTAACACACTTAATGAGTTCCAATCCTGGTGAACAGCACCTAAGGAACAACACCCAAGATTGTCTTCCAGTCTCCACACATACATCCAAAATTACCAAGCACATGCATATGTGAACACTCACAGCTTCTAAAAACAATGTCGGATGCTAAAAGGCTTTTTAAACTATATTTTCATATAGATTTAATTATTACTGGTGCCTCAAGTTTGCAGCAAAAGATCATGAAAATGAATAAGTCTGTAGAGCAAAGTTTTGTTAGGTCTACCAATTCTAGAATGTTGAAGTTCACAGAAAAGGAGAGTTCTGACTTACTCTGTGCTGCAGCACAACAGTGCCAGGAAACTGGCATATGGGCATTCCGGATTTGCTTCCGTGTGTGTGTGTGTGTGTGTGTGTGTGTGTGTGTGTGCACGCGCGCACCCGTGTTTGCTAGGACGTGTAGGCACACGAGTGGGGAGGGTTTGTACATCTATGTATATGGATTTGCCTGAGAAAGTCGAGCCATCGGGTCACTGTTAGCTTAGGTGTCCTCAATTGGTCTCTGCCTTTTAACTTTATTTTTGGAATGAGGTCTTCACTCACCTCCAAATGGAACTCACCAGTTTCGATAAACTGATTGGCCAGCAAGATCTTCCTGTCTTTCTCTGGCTGGTCTGCACTGAGGTTACAAGCACATGCTGCTAGGCACAGACTTTTATTGTATGACTGTTGGGAATCAAATGCAGATCTTCTGCTTATATGTTGAGCATTTACTGACTGAGCTAGCCTGAGCTATCTTCCCTCTTTTTCTTTCTTTTGTTTTTAGGGCTAGGGATCCAAACCCAGGGCTTTGTACAAGCTCAGTAGGACTCTCTCAGTGAGCCCAATGACTTATATCAGTTTGTATTTGTTTTTGTTTTTGAGGCCAGGCTAACCTCAAACTTACAGTCACCCTGCCTTGGCTTTCTGAGTGCCAAGATAATAGTCATGTTGCCATCACATGCCACCAGACCTTTATATAATACTCTATCACACGACCGGGATGCTTTGCATTATACAATCCATTTTATAGGTTTTATTATATATATTCTTGAGGCAGGGTCTTACTTTGTAGGCAAGACTGGCCTGGAATTTACTATGTAGTCCAAGATAGCTCCAAATGTATAGCAAATACAGCAGTCCTTCAGCACTTCCTGACTGTTGGGATTACAGGCATGGGCCATGACGCCTGGCTTTTTTTCTTTCTTTCTTTCTCTTTTTTTGGTTTCATTTCCCTTTTTTCCTGGTTCCTTGCATGTAAAATTAGGATGTTACCTTGGCATTTTCCTATTTAAATGTTGGCATTCAGGCCTGCAAAATGGCTCAGCTCCAGGAAAAATCACTTGCTACCCATGCCTGATGACTTGAATTCAACTTCTTGGACTCGGTCAGGCGGTGGTGGTGCATGTCTTTAATCCCAGCACTCGGGAGGCAGAGGCAGGTGGATCTCTGTGAGTTCGAGACCAGCCTGGTCTACAAGAGCGAGTTCCAGGACAGCTAGGGCTACGCAGAGGAAACCCTGTCTTGAAAAACAAGCACAAACAACATCTTGAACTTATAGTGGAAGGAGAGAGCCACCTCTGAAAACTAACCTCTAACTGTGGGGCCCTCAGGAACACACACACACACACACACACACACACACACACAAATGTAGGCTTTCACAAGTGTAAGTTTCCAGTAGAACACTTTTACTGTATCCTAGCAGTTTTGTTGGTTTGTTGTTTCTTTTATTATTCCTCTCAGAATGTCCCCTAATGTCCTTTGTGACTTCTTTCACTGTAAGTGAAAGCATTAATTCCCATATATTTTCTGATGTCAATTTTCCCTGTTTCAGGTTTTCTATGATTTTTCATTATGTCAAACATAACTAGAATCATTTCATTTCATTATTTTCTATGATTTTTATTATGTTAAACATACCTAGAATTGTTGAACATAGATTATTTCTGGTGCCTTGGTCTTTTCATACAAAAATATGCTCAATTCATGTGAAAACATACAAAAGGTATGCTCATTACCCATCTCCATAGTTCCACATCTACAGGGTTTTGTCACAAACTATACACAGTGTGCCTCTTGACGAGCTTTATATTGATCAGGTTACACATTTCCATTTGTCTATTATATCACAAGTTGCTTTCTTTTTTAAAGATAGGGTCTCCTTGTCTGGGGTAGAGATTCCAGAGGCAGACACAGACGGATCACTGTGAGACTGAAGCCAGCCTGGCCTATATAGTGAGTTCCATGCGGCCAAGGCTACACAGTAAGACCTTATCTTAAATAAATAAAATAAAAAAATAGAGTCTCCTTTTGCAGCCCCCCCAGCCTGGAACCAGCTGTTTGGCCAGGATCTACCGTCTTCTTCTGGCCTCTGCCTCCCCACACAGTGCTGGGATTATAGAAGGGAGCAGTCATGTCCAGCATAAAGTGATTCTGATACAGCCTCATAAAATAGGTTGTATGATGAAACTTGAACCCCACGCCCAAGCGAAGTACCTTGTCTACAATTCGCCAGCAATAAATCGTGGTGCCAGATTTCCGCTTTTACACTCACTTCTCTACTCTAGACCTTTTATTCTCGTTTCACTCATCTTAATCTGAGGAATCAAATTATTTCCTAATTGGTCCTACTCAGTACGTTTCTGATCCTAGCACCCAGGGCCCACCCACTCGAGACTATCAACCAAGTGAGCTACATCGTTTGAGCGTCTCTGATTAGTGGTGGATGCTCCAACTCAGCAAGTTCTCATTTTCTTCCGCTGAGGATGCTGAAAATCGAACCCAGGGCCCATGAGGGTTAGTCAGTCAAGCGCTCTACCCATGAGCTACCTCTTCAGTCCTAAATTCTGTTTGACACCAAACCTTTGGGAAACTTGTTTCCTACCTGCCCCGCCCGGCACTCTACTTAGCACCCACCCACGATTATTTCTGTCAAAAGTCACCATCCTTCATTGCGTCTCCCAGACTCAAATCTTGGATTTACCCCTACTGGCAATTTACAGTCTCAAAGACGAAACTGAAAGTGTTGAACACTAGGCTGATCTTGGAAGCAGAATTCAGCCAGCAGGAGAACAGTCGGCTGCTGGCGCTGCTGGCGGAGATGACAGGGACAGTCGGAGACAGCCCGCTAAGAGGCGCTGGCCACAGCGCAGGCCCGGGGCTCTGGAGGCGCAGCCACGGCCCCGCCCCGCCGCGCCCCACTGCGCCCGGAGCGGAAGGAAGCACGGCGGCTGGAGCACTGGCAGCGGAGGACGCAGGAGCGGACAGTCCGCACGGCGGACCTCCAGCCGGGATCTCCAAGCAGGTGCGTGGGGCCTCAGGAGGCCGGCTGGTCGCTCCGAGGGACCGGGTGGTCCTGGCTGACTAGCTGTGACCTTTGCTGATGCCTTGTGCAGGGGTCGGGGCCCTCGGCCGGGTGCGCCCGGGAGGTCAACTTTGCGCGACCAGACTCCCCGGAAAGCCGAAACAGAACGCTTGCTTTCTGTATTCTCTGATAGTTGGGTTTCCAAGGAAACTTAGGCAAAAAAGTGCAATAGTTTGGTCAATACTGTGGAAAACTAGGAAGTATGTGGTAGAAGAAATAGCTCTTTGAGGTCTGGAGTTGAAATTTAGCCAAACCTGACTGTAAAGCCAAGACCGGGAATAGAGAAATTCTTGTCTGTCTGGGCCTTGCCTGTGACAATGTTACAATTTAATTAAAAGAAAAAGAGAAAGAGCAGGAGATATGCCCTTGTGTTGAATGTGTGCCTCTGCCCTGCTAGACGGTACTTCCTGTGTCATAGCTATTCTTGGCTGTCAAGTTGACGTACGTGGGAAGACTGAACCTCAACTGAGGAGTTGTCCCCATCAGATTGGCCTCTGGGGCGTGTCTGGGGAACATTTTCTTGATCGCTGACTAGCCCACTGTGGGTGTCACTTCTGGGCAAGTGGTCCTGGATTGTGTAAGGAAACCAGGGGAACACGGCAGACGGCAAGCCAGTAGGCAGTGTTCCTCCACAGCCCCTGCGTCCAGCGGTGTCCTCAACCTTCCTGATGCTGCCGCCTCATGCTGTGCTGACCCCAACCACAAAATTATGTTGTTGCTACTTCATAACTGCAATTTTGCTACTGATGACTCGTAATGCAAGTATCTGTTTTCCAGTGGTCTTAGGTGACCTTTGTGAAAGGGTGTTTTGACCCTGGGGTTGCTACTGCTGGCCCTCAGGTGCCTGTCTGGAGTTCAAGCCCTGATTCCCTTTCATGATGGACTGTAAGCTGTGAGATGAAATAGACCCTTTCCTCTTCAAGTTGCTTTTGGTTACCATCTTTATGACAAAAATAGAAACATAATTAAAGTAAGGCTCTTCCATAGGTCTCTTAATTCCCAGCATGGTATTTCTTGCAGGGATCCTATTTCCTAAGGCCCCGTTATGAAACATTCAGGACAGTAAAATAGCTTCTTCCAGGATTTGGAATGATTCATTCGGGGATGGAGTGGGTGGGCCTCAGCCTTGCATGGATTCTGCACTGTAAATGGCAGTGCATTGATAGCAGTGTGGTGTTTTAAGGGAGAAAGTCACTCTGAATATGAGCATGTTGCACAATTTCCCCTCACATTTGACTCCGTCTTTATTCAGGAAGTACTTTTTAGGTATATAGGTTTAATGCTGTGTGCCAAGGAGATACACCCAGAACCTCTGCTTCCCATTCCAGAGGTTCATTGTTGATGGCATTTAGTCCAGCCATGCTAATACTGTCAGAAGGCTTTTATATAATCCAGGACTTTATGTGTGAGTGTTTTAAAGTGGCCTGGATTCTAGCTAGTCATATAAATGAAGCATAACTCCTGAGTAGTTAGCCTTCGTGTATAAATGACAACAAGGGTGGAGAAGGCCAGGGAGAGAAGAGTAGGACGATATCAGTTCTGGGACTGATGGCAGGGCAGCCAATAGGAAGACAGTTCTTGATGGGCCAGCCCTGGGGCATCCAAAAAAGAAGTGTACCATTTACTAGAGAGGGAGCCTGTTCTCCACTGTGTGCTTTTACACTTTTGTCGGAAATTAGGTCTCTGTCGCTATGTGGGCTGATTCTAGAGCCGCTGTTCTATTGCATCCGTCGATGCCTGTGTTTTTATTTCACACCACAGAGCTGTGGTTACTATGGCTCTGGTGTATAACCTGACATGAGCTTTGTTCTTTCTGCTAAGGATTGCTCTGCTATCAGGGGTCTTTTTGCTCCCACACGGATTTTAGGATTTTTTTTCTACTTCTTTGAAAAATGTCTTTAGGATTTTTATGGGGATTGATTTGCATCTGTAGATCATTTTCAATAATACAGCTATTTTTATAATATTCTGTTAGTACATTCACATGGGAGGCTTTCCTTTTAGTTTCTTCTAACAATTGTGTTTTAAAGTTGTCGTCATAGAGGTATCCCTCCTCCTTTTGTTCGGTTTATTTCTAATTTGATTTTTTTTTGTTTTTTTTCGAGACAGGGTTTCTCTGTATTGTTTTGGAGCCTGTCCTGGATCTCGCTAGGTAGTCTAATTTGATTTTTAAAAGCTATTGGAATGACTTTTTTTTCTCTTCAGGTCTTTTTGGCAAGTTTGTTACTGGTTCATAGAAAGGATGCTTGTCTTTGTTTGTTGGTTTTGTTTCCTGCCTCTTCTAAAAAGTGTTATCATGTCTAAGGATTTTTAGAAGCCAGGCATGATGGCACACACCTGTAATCCCAACACTCTGAGGGCTAAGACAGGGAGATCACTATGAGTGTGAGGCCTGAGCTTCACACTGAGTTGTAGGCCAGCCAGTGTAACAATGAGACCCTACCCAACACTGAACCAGGCCGGTAAGGTGTGGTGATGCATACCTTTAGTCTAGGACTTGGGCAATAGAGGTAGACAGCTAGATCTCTGAGTTCAAGCCCAGCCTGGTTTACATAGCAAGTTCTAGGCTAGCCAAAGCTACAAAACTAAACAAAAAATCAAAAGCAAAGCAAACAAATTAAAAAAAAAAAACAGCAACACAAGTTTCTGGTGGAGTCTTTAGGGTATTTGAGAATATCATCACATCTTCTGGAAATAGGAATAAGTTGACTTTTTCCTGTCCCATGTGTATTTCTTTCATTTCTCTCGCTTACTAGTTCAGTAAGACTTGTAGCATTATACTGAAAAGAGTGGGGAGTAGTTACCCTTGTCTCCTTCCGAATTTTAGAGGAAATTCTCCATTTAGTGTGATGTCATATTTAGCTCTTACTATGTTGAGGTACATTCCTTCTGTTTCTACTTTCTCAGGGGCCATGAAGGGATGTTGGACTTTGTCAAAGGCCTTTAACGTGTCTAGTTGTGATCACGTGATTTTGTCATAAAATCTGTTTGTCCGTTGTATTATATTTATAGGTGCAAATATGTTGAACCAATCTTAACATCCCTGAGATGAAACTAAGTTTGTTACAGTGTATGATCTTATTAGTGTGTCCTTGAAAATCTATTTACAGTATTTTAAAGAAATTTTGTAGTTGTCAGAGAATTTGGTCTGTGGTTTTCTTTTTGTTGTTGTTATGTCCTGTCTGGTTTGGTATCAGGGTAATAATGGCTTCGTAGAATGAATGTGGCAGTGTCCCTTCCCCTTCTTCTTTGGGGGGGGGGCAATTTGGGCACATTTTATTACTATTCCAACTTAGTTGCCTGTTACAACTGCTTAAGCTGTCTACGTCTTCTTGATTTAATTTTGGTAGGTCACATATATGTAGGAATGTATTCATTTCTTCCAGATTTTCTAGGGTTTTGTTGCTGTTTGGTTTTTGTTGTGTGATGCCAGTTAAAGTATTCCCTGAGATACTCTGCATTTTATTCTGACATATTGTAGCATCCCCCTTTCCATCTCTAGTTTCTTAGCTTGTCTCTCTCCCTCCCTGCAGTCTCTCTTTATGGTCTTACGTAGTCCAGGCTGGTCTGAAACTTGAGTTTCTAACCCTCTGCCACCACCTCTGGTGCTGGGATTATAGGCATGCCCCACCATGCCTTGTTTTAGCTGGCACTGAGGAGGAAACCCCTGGCTTTGCGCCAGCACTCCTCGAACTTTATTTCTGGCCACCTGACTGAGGAGTCTCTCTGTCTTGCTTAGCTTTTCAGAGAACCAGCTTTTTGACTGGTTAATTTCATGTCATCATTCATTTCTGCTCTGTCATCTACTACTTTTGGTTTTGGCTTGTTACTTGTTTTTCTCGGAAGTTGGGAGTGAATCATTAGCACTATTTTTTTTTTGAGATCACTGTGATTTCTTTTCTTTTTTTGAGACAGTGTCACACTGTGTAGCCTTGGCTGTCCTGGCTCTTACTATGTAGACCAGGCTGGCCCCAAACTCACAGAACTGAATGCCTCAGCCTCTGCTAGGATTAAAGATGTAGGCCACCGTACCCTGTCCTACTCTGTTGTTTTTTGTTTGTTTGTTTGGTTGGTTTTGTTTTAGTTTTTCTGTGTAGCTTTGGAGCCTATCCTGGCACTCGCTCTGTAGACCAGGCTGGTCTGGAACTCACAGAGATTCCTCTGCCTCTGGCTCCCAAGTGCTGGGATTAAAGGCGTGCACCACCGACGCCTGGCTCCTACTCTGGTATTTTAATGTAAGCCCTAATAGCTAAGTTTCCTCTTAGACCCATCTTTGCTGTAACCAAGAGTGGCCTTGGCTGAGTCTCACCTCTTAGTCTGTATCTCTCAGTTGTTGAGTGAAGCCATTTCCACCCGAGGTTATTATTGAGAGGTGTTTGCTGCTTCCTGCCATTTTGTTGGCTGTTTTCCTGGTTGGGTGGATCATGGTTGGCTCTTTTCTTTTTCCCTATTCCTGTTTGCTGTCCTATTGTGTTGGTCCCAGCTTTGTTTTTTATTCCTTCCAGAAATGTATTATTTCTTTTGCTCTTGTGATCGAGGATATTTTCCTCCTCTGTGGATAGTATGTGCGTCATTCTCAAAGTATCTTCTACAGTGCTGCTTGTTGGCCATGAACTGCCTTAGACTGTGCTTTTTTTTTTAAACATCTTTATTTCTCATTGAAGTTTAAATGATAGTTGCTGGGTATAATAATTCTAATCTTCAGTCATTTACATTCAGCAACTGAAATACCCAGTCCTGCTCTGCCCTGGCTTTGGAGTTGACGGCGAGAGCGATGACGCTTTGTGTCTCTGTAGGCGAGCGAGCTGGCACTTTCCATATGTACCACTTCCCTGCATCTCTGACACCTCGACTAGTCCATGTCGTAGAGTGTTCCTCTGGCCGTGTCTGTCTGTGATTCTGGATGCCTCTTTTGTTTGCCTGTCTGCTTTCTTTCTCTAGATTTGGGGAATTTTCTGTTGTAAGTTCATTGACTATGCAATAAAACAGTAAAATGTTAAGGGAGTGTAACACGGGGACCATGTGGAGAAAGAAAGACGCCAGTGTAGTGACTCACACCTGTGATCCAGGCACTTGGGAAGCTGTGGCACATCATCCGTTCAAGGCTAGAGAATGAGAAACAAAAATAAAAATAGATAAATAAGGATTTGCCCAAGAATGACAAAACTGGATGAATATATGAAAATATAAAACAATTTCCATTTTTGGTGTTCTTTAATACGATAAAAAAATGAAAATATCAATGAAAGTGTAGTGAAAAGAGCATCATATAACACGACTCTTAAGTCAGTTCCTTCCTTGGCAAACTGACCTTTAAAGGTCAAGAACTGAGCTTTCTCGTGTCGCCGCAGCACTGACTTGGAGGGCTGTTGAGCTCATTGCACATGCTATTACTTGAGCTAACTGATGGTGTCTTGTTAGTTTTGAGGTGTACCCGGTGAGGCCTGCCCTCCAGCCCCTCCTACTTAGAGCTGTCTTTGGCTGGGAGAGCCCACCTCTTTCCCTTGCTACAGCTAAGCAATCAGAGCTAGTCTGGAAGTGGACAGCACCAGAAAAGACCCTCTGAGCAGGTAGCAGGCTGACCATTCCTTCCTTGTGAAGTGGACAGCCACACCCTTGAAAGTCACTGATTACTGAGCCTGGCAGATAAAGTGACAGCTAGCTGCCAAGAGTGGATCTTTGGCAAATGGCCTAGGTAGATTTTGACAAATAGAGGTCGTCATATGTGGTGGTCATCACCTGCTGAACCTTTGAGTTCATTTATTTTTTACTTTAGAAGTAAAGGCTTCTAAAAGTTCTGGGTTGGACCTCTAGCATTACAAGAAAAAAAGGAGAAGGAAAACAGGAAAAAGGAAGGAAAGGAAGGAAAGGAAGGAAGGAGGAGGAGGAAAGAAGAGAGAGGGAGAGAGAGAAGGAAAGCTTCTGTGTTCTTGACCACAGATCTGATCCATAACTGAGTCTCATGCTTTTGAAGGGGCCCCCCATATCCTAGGCTATCGCTGGGAGCTGCACACACATCCTGCTAATTGTTCTGAGTCAGCCTTAAGTTTAGATGTTATCGTGAGGGCAGTTAAGGAGGAATGTGAGATCCAGTGGCCACGGTGTCTATGAACCCTCCCTTGCCACACAGCGAGAGGAGACAAAATGAAGCAGAGCTCCACCCTCATCAACCACAAAGATACAAGGCAGAGGCAGGCGGATCTCTGTGAGTTTGAAGCCAGCCTGGTCTACAGAACAAGTTCCAGGACAGCCTCCAAAGCCACAGAGAAACCCTGTCCCGGAAAAAAACAAAAACAAAAAACAGCGAACATTTTTGTAATGGGAAAATAACTGAAAAGCAAACACAGAAACCCTACAAAGGGGTCTAGGAGTGTAGCTTGATGGCAGAATGTTTGAGGTTCTCAGGTTCCATCCTCAGAACTATGAAAATAAGGAACATTTGTAATCGTGGAGCGAGGGGTACAGCCATAAAAAGAATGACAGAATGCATGACAACCATTAACTCCCAGGGTGTCTGAGACTACGGTGCTGCCTCCCACCCTCCCCGGCTGCTGCCTTCTCTGCCCTGGTCCCGCCCTCCCCAGCGTCTGGCGCCCCTCCCAGGCTGGCCACCCTCCTGTTTAGCCTCATTTCGCGCGTGCCTACGTCATTCTCTTTTCCGTGCTTGTGTGCATATGGATTTCAGGCTTGGTGGCGCTGCCTTTGCATTCTGCCCTGTTCGCCTTTCACTATAGAGCGTCTGTCACCTCTGTTGTATTGCCTTTCTGAGGGAGGCTCCTGACGCTGAGACTCGGGTCCACAGTGGAGGAGAAGCTAATGGTTGGGCCATCATCGCACTGATAACACAAATGTGGCGAGGCTCCATTATCTCAGCGCTACTGCGAGGCACAAGGTTTAAGGGTCCCAGCACCTCTCCCAAAGGGACCTACTCTGTGGGCCTCTAAGCCTGCTACCCTGCCCTGTGGCTGCTTGTGAGGAGTGGGTTGAGCTGCCCATCCTGCTGAAACACTTAAATTGAGTGTTTCTGACACAGCTCATGAGTCATCCAGAATAAATGAACTGTGGGACAATACCCAGGCCAGAGAGCTTCTCTGTATTTATCTACCACATCTTTAACACCCAGATGTAATTCACTTTCCCACGGAAAGGGTTGTGGCTTACCTCCAAGTCTGGCTCACTCATGAAGCAGAATGCCCTTAAACTCTGGAAAGAAGGGGCATTCCGTACAGGAGCCGGGGAGGGGGTGGGGTGGGGGTCATGAAGACTGAAGCTAGATTCCGGTCCTGTGCCTTTGTTTTACTGAATCCTGTGACTTTGGGCACTCCTCCTCTGTGAAATGGGGATAAAGTGTCAAAAAACATAATTAGGCTGGGGGTGTAGCCCAGTTGCTAGAATGCTTGCCTAGCATGCCCTGGGTTCAACCCCAAGTGCCATATAAACTGTCTGTGGTGGCTCACACCTGTAATCCCAGCACTTAAGAGACGGAGGCAGCAGAATCAAGTGTTCAAAGTGACTACATAAACCCTGTCTCAAAAAAACCAAGTTGACTTATCACAGAGATATTTGCGCATCTGTTTATTCACAATAGTTAAATAGTGGCAACCTCAGTGTCCAACAACAGCAACAGAAAACAATACGTATGTACACAACCGATATTTTTCAGCAATAAGCAGAAGCAAAATCATATTATTTGCACAAAAATGGATGCAGCTAGATTAAACCTATCACAGAAAGACAAATACGTTTTCTCTTGCTTGTGCTTCGTGGATTTCATATCAATATATAAAAATCACACATGTTTGTGCATGTATGTAATATATATGTATGTAGGTAGAAGTAAGACCATCTAGGAGGACAAAGAGGATCAGCAGGAGTGAGAAGGGGGTAGAGATATGAAAGGGGGTGTGTTCAATGTATAATATACGCATATGTGAGACTTAAAATAATTACGACAACAAGCAGAAGCCATTGACTCAAAATTATTTTTTCTTTCAGGATGACTTTGGGAATCTTTGCAAATTGTATATTCTGCTTGAAAGTCAAATACTTACCTCGTCAGCAGAAGAAAAAACTGCAAACTGATATTAAGGAAAATGGTGGAAAGTTTTCCTTTTTATTAAATCCTCAGGTATGTGCAAATCTCTTCGATTACTTTCTGAGTAACACGAGCTGTCAGGGAACACGGCTCATGAGAGAGTAAGCAGAGAAGACTGGCAGCAGGAGACACAGGGATATGGTTCCCTGGGGGATGGGGTACCAGAAGCAGAGGGTACTGGAGGACCCAGCCTGGCCTTCTGCTCTGGGAGTTTCCTAACATTGTCTCTTCCTTGTGACTTTGCTATCATACAGGCTTAGTTACACCTGTTCTTAAAAGAGAAAAGTCATATTGTACCTGCTTACCAAAGGCATGCTGTGTCGCTGGCCTAGGCCAGCACAGGGCTGACAGGTGGGGGCAGAAGAGCAAGGCAGACTCATCTTTCTAAGGCAATTTCCTCTTTTTTCTGAAACAGGGTTTCTCTGTGACTTTGGACGCTGTCCTGAAACTAGCTCTTGTAGACCAGGCTGGTCTTGAACTCACAGAGATCCGCCTGCCTCTGCCTCTCCAGTGCTGGGATTAAAGGCGTGCGCCACCAATTTCCTCTTTTTTAAGAAGGCAAAATGGGAGTCTAAAGGCATTATGCCCCCATTTGCTAGCCCTGTCCTTTCCTCTTCCCTCTGTGGATAGGTCTGACACTCTGCCTTTCCCTGGGTCCGTAGACGGCATCATCTACTCTAGGAGGCCAGTTCAGCTCCAGCAGGGTGCTACAAAGAGAATGTCCCCACTCACCTCCAGTCAGGCAGAGCTGTGCACACGTCCATCACATGGCTTCCCAACTTCCCAGCCTCACCATTCCCACGGATGGAAAAAAAAAAAACCACCTAAAAGTAATAAGCAAGCTGTCGTCTAGGTAGAAAGCTGCCCATGGTCTCTGCAGTTTAGGAAATTTTCACATACTGTGTGTGAGAGCTTTTGGAATTTGTTTTTGCCAATGTATATAAATGTTTGAAATGTGCACGGCAGCGGTGATAAAGGAGACACAAAGCCAGGCATGATGGCTCGCATCTGTAATCCCAGCATTCGGAAGGCTGAGGCGGGAGGATGAAGTCCCAGACCAGACCGGGCTACATGTCTTAAAGGGAAAAATACAATCAGACTTAACGATAAATAGATGCTGATGATAAATCCTAATGATGAGGAATGAACTTGAAGATAAACGGTTTTGTAAGTGGAAAAGCAAGCTCATATGGTATGAAAATGTGCTGCCCTTTGTGCACTTATACCCTTTGTTTGCAAAGAAGAAATCTAGAAAGATCTGTAAGGAGAAGTTCACAGCAGTACCTCTGGGGAAGGCACCGGGAGCAGTGGTGGGGGAGGGTTAGCAGGTCCCTATTATTACTTTATAGATATCTACGATAGCATGTACTCTTTATTTACACTATATAAAAAGATGGGTGATGGGTTTGGACCCCCAGAACCTATGTAAATGAAGAAACATGATCTGTAATCCCTGAGCTCCTGCAGTGAAATGGGAAGTAGAAACAGATGAATCCTTGTAACCTCTTGGCGTATGTATGTGTATGTATGTATACATACACTCACATATTATCTGTGGCAAATGACAAAAAAAGAGATCCTATCTCAATCAAGGTAGACATGAAAACTGATATCCAATATTGTCCTCTGACCTCTGTAGTGAGCTATCCACCCACCCACCTCCCTCCCCTCTCCCCCACACCTGTGGGCGTGGTCATGGATGTGACAGAGGGTAAGGCTAGGTCTGGGATCCTGAACCCAGATGCTCTCTCTTTTGCTTCTGGTCGGGTCACTTGGAGAGCAGCCTGGGTGGATCCTTGGAGAGGGAACCCACAGTGGTCATCTGTTTCATGTATAAGTGCATTCTCCCCAAATAAACTTCACTTAGCCTGTACTGAGTCTAGTGAATCCTGATTCCCACACGACACCTGGCACCCAATGTGGGAAAATTTCCCTGGACCTACAGCAGCCACACATCATGGCCAACGCACCAGTGAGGAGTGGGTAATTTGTCCCTTGAGCATCTGCGCTGCAGTTTTTCTATCTTGGGTGTTTTTTCGTTGCTGGTTTTTCAGTAGCAGACCTCTACATGCGCAGTGTGACTTATGCATTCACCTACACTCATGCATAGGAACAAACACGTCGCACACATACACACGTGTGTGCACTCCCAGTTTTAAAATACTAAATAGAACTACAAAATAACAAATACCTTTTGGTACCTCCCTTTTCTTTATTCCTTTCTTATTATTTATTTGTTGGTTGATTGGTTTTTCTAGACAGGGCTTCTCTGTGTAATACCCCTGGTTACTCTGGAACTCGCTTTGTAAACCAGTCTGGCCTTGAACTCACAGAGCTCTGCCTGCCTCTATGTCAAGAAATAACAGAATAAGAACATGAATATGTATGCATGAGTGCGCTCTCAGCATGGGGAACTTCGAAGCAACCTGTGATGTAGACCATCCACACCCATAGAGAACTCACTGTTGGCTTAGGGCAGGGATGTAGCTCCGTGGCACAGTGCTTTCCCAGTGTGGTCATGGCCCTAGGTTCGATCTAGGAATGTGGTTGGAGCAGGGGTGGGGTGTGGGGGGTGCACACACAACAAAACATGTTCGTGTTTTTCAAAATCTGAAAAAAATCACTGTACTGCCTTAAAATAAGACCTTTAGGGGTTAAAGTTACAGATACAAATACTGTTGTTAAAGGTTGTTTTGCTGCTGTAAAATGAACTTCCCATTTGTCCTTAGTGCACACATGTAATCCTAGACAATGCTGAAGCCCTGAGTCAGCGTCAGCTGAACTCCATCCAAAAGAACCATGTCCGGATTGCAAGCCCAGATTTCATATGGGACTCTATCAGCCAGAGGAGACTCGTGGATGTGACGAATTATGATCCCAAGCCACTGGCTGTCATGCCACCTCCAGGTGAAAAGAGCTGTGCTGGTGAGTGTGTCCTACCAAGACTTAACATGCTATAGATGCCATGTAGACATCTGAGCATGTCAGAGGTGTCGTGAGAAAATAATGTCCGGGAATACTACAAAATAATTATGATTCATTTTACCTTAGAAGCAGGACCTTCTAAACAAAATCCTGAAGGATAAAAGGCCAGCTCAGCTACAGGTATAGATTTTCAATGTGAAGTCTTGTGAGGTCAGACTCAAAATGACTAATGAACCCTGATGGCCTCAGAATATGCGACGTGTAATTAAAAATTTGTTATATTTTAATTTCTTTATTTTGTATGTGTGTATGAATGCATGCCCCATGCAGCGCTTGTGGAGGTCGGAGGACAGGGGTGGGTATTATCCTTTGGGACGCTGTCACCTCCTTTGAGATAGAGAGCTCACTGACCAGTCTAAGGTGGCTTGTGAGAGAGCCCCAGGCACCTTCCTGTTTCCTCCTCCCCAGCACTGGAATTACAAGACTGCCCTGCCATACTCAACCTTTTGCCTGCATGCTGAGGCTGAAACTCAGGTCTTCATGCTTGCAAAGTGCTTTACTATCTGAGCTATCCCCAGCCCCCATTATAGTTTTAACTGGGAGTAGACTAATCCTTGGTGTTAAGAAAGTGATTGCTGGACTTGTAAGAAGGTGCAGGAAGATCACTAGAACCTCGGAGTTCATGGCCAGCTTGTGCAACTGGTGAAACCCTCAACTAAAAATATCCCCAAAACCAACAAGACAAAAAGAAAACTGAGGCTGAGAGTATGGTGGCAATAAGGTGTTTACCCAGCATGTGTAAGGCCCTGAGTTTGAGTCCCCAGAACACTGAATAAGGAGGGGAAATATATAGCAAATATCATATTTGAGAATCACAACAAAGCCAGGCAGTGGTGGCACATGACTTCAATCCCAGCACTCGATAGGCAGAGGCAGGCGATCTCTGAGTTCAAGGCCAATCTGGTCAACAGAGCAAGTTCCAGTGACAGTGAGGCCTACACAGAGAAACCCTGTCTCTAAAAAACAAAACAAACAAAAAGTCCTAACAGTTCTAGCAGTTAGGTTCACAGTTAGTTGTAAGTGTTTGAATAGTCAACAAGTTTTCCTTTTAATTCTAGAGGTGGAAGCAGAAGATGTGTCTTTGGATAATACCCCAGAGAATGAAAACACCGAAGTCACTCAGTAAGCAAAGTATTTTGCAAACTTCAATCGTGGTGTTAAAAATACAAATATGCAGAGAGTGGTGATGCGTGCCTGTAATCCCAGCATTTGGGAGGCTGAAGCAGGGTTGAGTTACCTTTGGCCACCCTGTCTCAAAAACAAAACAAACAAGCAAGGGACAGGCGATACGTTGGACTCCTTTATTTTGTGAAAGGACTTGACATAGCCCAGAAAACAATTGGTGGGAGTCAGAGCCCCAACACGGTGACCACAGAAGGTGGCTATGTTTTTTCCGTCTCTGCTTTTGCCTGTCCTTGCCTCCCTGTGACTCCAGGTTCTGACTTTAGTGTTTGGGAGCAGGGGGGGTTCCCTGATTATCCCTTACTTAATGCACAGGTTAAATTATCACACTCCCCCCACAAATGTGTAAAATCAAAAAATAATATCTAATAAATTAGTTATGCAGAGGATGAATCCAGCCCATTTTCACCTTTGTTTAACCATTTCTAAAATACTTAAGGAGGCACCAGGGACTTACTACATACATCATCAGGAATTAGGAGATCTGTTGTGAGATTCTCTGTAGTCCAAAGTTCCATTTCAGTCTTAAGCATTTAATCATATAAATTTCAGGGCTTCTGTGGAGAATGTTGAAATTCCTCATTTTCTTCAAGACTTTGAAGTTGTGAAATATAATGTCTTGGAAAAGGTAAGAGCCTGATTTCTACCTACAAAAAAAGAAACTGAATTATTTCTGAAAACACTTCCTTTTTGATGTTTTTCTCATTGTTTCAAAAGTTGTCCATATTCTGAATATCACATATCTACCGATGTGGAGTGTGGCTGGTTCCCATAGCTCGGCTTCTAAAATGTACCATCTTGCAGGGGGGAGCGGATGGAGGCCAGGAGACCACAGTGGTGGAGCTGCAGTGTTCCCAGGACCCAGGGGACGGCCCCTTTGTGATATCAGCACACTTCCTCCTGCCTGACGGCATGCAGGTGATGCCTTGAGTTAAATTCCTGCGTCTTTACTCCTGCTAGTTTGCTTAAACAAATCAAGCCACCCACCAACCTGCTAAACTTTTCTTCTTACCTGGGGACATAGTCAGCTGGACTCCTGAAATGAATAGTACGGTGACTCGGTGGCTTAAGCAACAGAGTGTTTCTCCCTGTGCTGGAAGCTGAAAGTCAAAGCTCAAAGATCCTCCTCCATCTTTCCCTCCTCCTTCTCCATCTTCCCCTCCTCTTCCTCCTTCTCCATCTTTCCCTCCTCCTCCTCCTCCTCCTCCACCTTTCCCTCCTTTGTTCCTTTTCTTTTCCCCCTTTTAACAAACGAGACAGAGGGACTCATCTGTATCCAGGCTTGCTTCCAACATGGCATTCCTTCATTAGCGTCCACACTGCTACCATTACAGGAGTGAACCACACATCTACCTTACAACAGAGGCTTCCCTGGGACCCACTGGGACAGTTCTGACACTGCTGTGCGTGTGAGGTACTCAAGGCTCATGACCACAGAATGCTGGAAATCACAGGAAGGCTTCACGAAAGCCATCACTGTTGTCCTAGCTCAGTGTAGTGTCAGGAGCCCACCTGTGGTCTAAAACAATTCGGAAATGAAAATAGACCCAGAATGAAACACCCAAAAGTTGAACAAAGTACACACCAAGTATCACCCACCAGGGAGTCTTCTCACATAGGTATTTAGCCTTGCAGATCTACCATGGCCAGAAACAGCCGCTGATGGGGCCGAGTCCATTCTTCAATGAGAGAGGTTCTCACACAGGTTCACACAGGCTCTTGAAGCTTCTCCTCTGGCACTTAACCCAGACGACACTCAGATAGACACATCAGATGGGGCCATCTGAGAAGCCTCTTGCCTCAACCTCTCAAAATGTTGGGATTACAAACCTACACTATTGCACCAGCCCTATAGCTGATTTTTTATCAGATTTCCATGGGAACAGAGCTAGAACCTTAATCCAGGGTCATATGTATCCAAGTGGGAGATATTTAACCTTCTGCCCAAAAAAAATGTGGTTATTTTGTTATTTGGATAAAAAGTAATTCAAGCCACGTGGTAGTGGTATACACCTTTAATCCCAGCACTTGGGAGGCAGAGGCAGGCAGATCTCTGTGAGTTTCAGGCCAGCCTGGTCTACAGAGAGAGTGCCAGGACAGTCTCCAAAGCTACACAGAGAAACCCTGTCTTGAAAACAAAACAAAACAAAAAAGGTAATTTAAAATCAAATAAAGACCCACAATGACCCGTGTTATATCTTTATAACACTGCATAGACCTTGGTCACTCTGGCTGTTTGCTCCCTCAATTTCAGCTTTTAAGTGTTCCTTTTCTGCTGCTGTGACAAAAACGCCTTGACCAAGGCAACTAGGAGATGAACATTGGGCTCCAGGGGAGTAACCCGCGGGCATGGCAGCTGGAAGGCAAGCTGAGAGCTCCCACCTCTAACAGAAAGCAGAAAGGGAACTAGGAATGAGCTTGTGGCTTGTGAACTTGAAGCAAAGCCCCATGATGTACTTCCCCCAGCAAGGCCTCACCTCTAAGCCTAAGCCTCCTCAAAAAGCACCTGCCAACTAGGGACCAAGCCCTGAGGTCAGCCAGGGGTAGGGAGACATTTTCATCCAAACCAGCATGGTAATTCATTGAGAAAAGTAGTTTGAAACCCCTTCATGGCAGGGTGTAGGGATTCACTGGGGATGAGTGTGTTCATAGTTTCTGTGCACTGTAATTCCCAGACTAGAAGAGAGAGCACCGGAAAGCAAACCTCTGAAGGCGCAAGTGAATATTATGAACGTTACATTGAAGACCTGAAGAGACAAGGATTTCTGCTCCAAGAACACTTTCCAGCAGAAGCAACACAATTAGCGTCTGAAAAACTGCAAGCTGTAAGCTAGCTGCTTGATAGGACTGTGTTGCATTGGCTGAGCTGGGAGGGGGTGTGTGTGATTGTTGTTTGGTTTGGTTTGGTTTTTGTTTTGTTGGTTTTTCGAGACAGAGTTTCTCTGTAGCTTTGGAGCCTGTCCTGGAACTTGCCCTGTAGACCAGGCTGGCCTCGAACTCACAGAGATCATCCTGTCTCTGCCACCAATGCCCAGCTTGGTTTGTTATTTTGGGTACTCTCTCACTCTTTAGTCCAGGATGGCATCAAATGAAAACAAACCCCCTGCCTCAGCCTTCTCAGTGCTGAGATTTTAGATGAAACCACCATACTCCAATGATTGATCTTTTTTTTTTAAAGCAGATTCTTACCATATAACTCTGGCTGGCTTAGAATTTATTATGTAGACCAGTCTGCCCTGAAACACACAGATTCATCTGCCTCTGCTTCCTGATTGTTAGGAAGAAACAAAATATGAAGTCAAAACTAGAGAGATGGGCCAGTGGTTAAGAGCAGTCAATGGCTACCCTCCCAGAGGGCCTGGGTTTGATTCCCAGTGTGTACACGCCAACTCAATAGCCATCTGTAACTCCAGTTCCGGAGGACATGGTGCCCTCTTATGGCCTCTGTCAGTGTGCAAAGCACACACACAGGCAAAGCATTCAAACACATAAAGTAACTGAAAAATGTATACAAATTGCTGGGTATGGTGGCACATGCCCCATGTCTACGTTATAACATGGAGAGCAAAGCGCCTCCCTCAAGGAAAGCATTCATGTACTCTGAGGCTCTGCCCTGTGTTCTGGGCGCCATCCACCAGTCTCTGCCTCTTAAAAGGGCCTACCACTGTGGGGTCTACTACCCCACTACTCCACGGTGGGGACCCGGTGCCAGCATATGAGCCTGAGGGACCCTCAAACCATTCCCAGCCTTAGTGTCTGGCCATGGGAGTGGGTGTCTCTCTTGGGCTATTATTTTTTGTTTTACTTCTTTTTCTGGGCCTATACTGTTTGTTTGTTGCTTGTGAGGTTGGAAATGGAACCCATGGTCTTGGATACACTGGGCAAGTGCTCTGCTATTGACTTGCACCCAGCTCCTGTGTCAGTTTTACATACAGTGCTCATGAGGATGTGTAGGACGTGTGTGTGTGTGTATGTGTGTGTGTGTGTGTGTGTGTGTGTGTGGTGATGCTTTGTCGTGTTGTTTCAGCTGCTATTGGAGGAAGTCATAAGTTCGGGCACTCTGAGCCAGGAGGTGAGCCATTTGGTGGAGATGGTCTGGGCAGAAGCTCTGGGACACCTGGAGCACACACTTCTCAAGCCAGTGAACAGCATAAGCCTGAATGACGTAAGTCTAGAGTGTCATTGGATCAGCTCCACAAACCTACTTTCCTGGTGGATGGGTGTAGGCACTGGTGCTAACAGTCACTTGCTGGTTGCTTTACTCTGAAGTCCACCCCTCAGTGTTATTTCCTCATTCTCTGAAGGAAGGGAGAATCAAGAGAGCCAAATGTCCCTGTCATGTCAGTTCTCGGTGGTGGCCAATGTAGGACTCAGCATTGGCGCTGAGGGTGTTGCTGCCACGGAACAGAGTGGTGGTGCCCATTTAGATACCCAGATCCTGACCTACTTTGAAGTGACTCCTCCGGCCTTCGCCTCTTCACTGTCTTGGGAAAGGCAGGCTTGCTTCCAGCACACCAGGACAGCTGTTCTCTTTTCCATTATGTGTAACAGTGGTTGAAAGAACAAGTGATTGACAGATGGTATTCCCAGTGATCCAACGCATGCAACTGAGTAGTCAAAGGAAGACTATTACAAGGTGCAGGCAGCTTTCCCTAGGGAATGCGACAAGCCGTTTCAGGGAGAAACAGATTTCCTGCTATTAGGTTCATGGTGCACTCAAAGAATTAGGAACTGGCCTGGTTTGATGTCGACATCATTCTATGGTTCTCTATGAAAAGCAAGTCCCCTCCAGTTGCATTTGTATTCCTGTCTGCTCGTGTGCACATATGTATAGAAAAATGATACTGCATTTTTCTTCAGTGGTGTAGCCACTGATAAGTTGTCCACAATCCAGAGAATAACCCTGCACTTACACAGACACAAGCAACCCTAAGTAAACTCAGTGGGTTATTTTTAGAAAGATGTTTGTACAGATGGGGGATCATGTTGAGAAGAAGAAGGATCCAGAAGGAGCAGGAGAGGGACGAGAGAAGGAGTGGGTCTGATCAAAATACATACAAGTATAAGACTGTCCACAAATAAATTAAAAATTGTGTTTTAAAAAGAAGGAAATGAAGAGCCTTGGTTGTTTGTCCATAGTTGAGCTGAGACAGTTTGCAAGCATCTTCCTTCCTGGCATCATTCGCAGATGAGCTATACCTTAAGATCCCCATTTGCCTTGTTGACTATGTAAGTCCAGAGACAATCCATTCATAAAGACAAGATTGCTTATGACTCACAGGTTTGTAAATCTCAGGCTATGATAGATTGGCCCTGTTGTTTTTGGCTTCTGATGAGTCAGTGCGTTATATCAGGAGTGTCTAGTGATGTAAAACCCACTCACTTCAAGGCCAAGAAACGAAAGAACAGACTAGGGTTCACTAGGCTCTTCCTCCTAAAGGACCCACCACTTGCCTAAAGCAACTTCCTAGGGACTAAGCTTTGAATCACGGGCCTTAGAAAAACAGTTAAAACCCAAACTAACAGGATTGAAACTGAAAAAATTAATAGACGATATTCTGTTTTTTAAAAAGACCCAAACTATAGCAGTGTCAGAGGTTATAGAAAACTCATAGTTCTGGGCTGGAGAGATGGCTCAGGGGTTGAGAGCACTGTTTACTCTTTCAGAAGACCCCGGTTCATAGTTGTCTGTAACTCCTCTTCCAGGGGATCTGATTCCTCATACAGACATACTTGCAGGAAAAAAACCAACGTATATAAAATTAAATAAATAAATTATTTTAAAAAAAGAAAACTCATAGTTCCGATGTCTCCAGCTGGTATTTTAGGTAATTTTTGGGTGTCTTTTCTATGAGTATCAGGATTTAAATTTTAAAAGCGTGTTTGCTTTTCTGTTTGCAGGTGAGTAAAGCAGAGGGGGTCCTCCTTCTAGTAAAATCAGCCCTGAAGGATGGAGAAACAGCGGAGCAACTGCAAAAGACGATGGCCGACTTCTACCGACTGATTCCCCACAAACACCCAGCATCAGAAGACATTAACCTAAGGTTGTTAGCTCAGAAAGAGGACCTTTGTCAGGTATGTCCCTGGAATAAAGAATTCAAGTTGAAGTGTTTTCAGGGTCATGGCTTTAGGGATGGCCCAATAGTTAAGGACACTGGCCACTCTTGCAGAGCATCTGAACTCAGTTCCCAGCACCCACGTGGTGGCTCATAGTCATTCTATAGCTCCACTTCCAGGGGATCCCATGTCCTCTTGTAACCTCCACTAACACCAGGCATGTGCACAGTACCCATATGCATGCAGGCAAAACAATTACACATACAAAATAAAACAAATCTTTTAAAGATGATGCATGTGCCGGGCAAGGCGGCACACACCTTTAACCCTAGCACTCAGAAGGCACAGGCAGGTGGACCTTTTTGAGTCCTAGGCCAGTCTAGTCTACAGAGTGAGTTCCAGGACAGCCAGGGCTACACAGAGAGACCCTGTCTCAAAAAAGAAAAAAGAAAAAGAGTGATGCCTGTGACTGTGTGTGCTCTTGATGTCAGTTGTTGGGACTTGGAATCATACTTTTCGACACAGATGTGAGGATGTTTCCAGAGCTGTTTAACCAAGGAGGGAAGATTCACCCTGGTTGTGGGCAGCATCCCACGGGCTGGGGTCCAAGACTGAATGAAAAGGAGAAAGTTAACTGACACCAGCATTCACCTCTCTCTCTGCTTGCTGACTGCAGACAGTGTGACCAGCAGTCTCATAATTCTGCCACCATACCTTCTCGGCCATGACGGGCTGTTTCCTCCCTAAACCAGGAACCAAAACAATCCTTCCTTCCTTCCTTCCTTCCTTCTTTCCTTCCTTCCTTCCTTCCTTCCTTCCTTCCTTCCTTCCTTCCTTCCTTCCTTCCTTCCTTCCTTAAGTTGCCTGTAAAGAGAAGCTTTTTCTTTGAGAGTAGCCTTCCCGCCAGCCTGATTCTAGAGCCCCATCAGTCCCAAATAAACACACAGGAGGCTATATTAATTATGAAGCTGTTGGCCTTGCTTGTCTCTTACTGGCTAGCTCTGCTTTAAGTAATTACCCCATAATTGTTAATCTAAGTATGTCTCTTACCGGAGAAGTTTCCGGGCTTCCTACCCCATGGTGTTACATGTTGACTCCTTGTGTTTCTCCTACCCAGAATCCTTCTGGACTCCTAGTCCCTCCTATCTAGATTCCCTATTGGCCAGACAGTGCTTTATAGGCATTAAGACTTCCCCAACAGTTGCCTTTGTCAGGCATTTGGCACAGCAATGGGAAAAGTAACTAATTTAAAGTACTATACTAATGTACACTTCTGCTGTGCTGTCAGTGATCCAGTTCTTTCTATATCTGTCTGTCTGCCTGTCTGTCTGTCTGTCTGTCTGTCTGCCTACCTATCTATGCATGTATTTGAGATGGGGATTTCTAGATTCATCCTAGGCTAGCCTTCAACTTCTGGGCTCAAGTAATCCTGCCTCAGTCTCCCAAGTAGCCAAGAAATCTGGTATTGTACCAAGCCTTCTGATTTTTAGAAACTTTATTTTCACATTTGAGAACAACCTTACATTGCAAGTTGGGCTGGCCTGGAATTTACTGTATAACCTAGGCTAGCCTTGAACTCACCATAATCTTTCCCTCCCCAAGTACTAAGGTTACAGATGTGAGCTACCACACCCAGCTTTGTACCCAGCATTTATTCAGTTTAGTATACTTCCAACACCAAATATCAATTAAAAGCTTTGTGGGAAAAACTAGTTTTTATCGTTTTGGTAAATACTACTGTAATATACATATTAACTTTGATGTGTGGTGTCTCTGACATCTCTGTATCACTTCTACCCACAGCTAGTAAGAGACATGGTGAATGTTTGTGAAACAAATTTATCCAAACCCAACCCACCATCTCTTGCCAAATACCGAGCTTTGAGATGCAAAATCGAATGTGTTGAACAGAACACTGAAGAATTTTCCAGGGTTAGAAAAGAAGTGCTGCAGAGTAATCACGGGTAAGCATGAAGCAAGCCTCCTGGCATCTGTGACAATGATGCTCTCTGAGATCCCGTTAAAGTCAACCAAGGTAACTAGAGAAAGAAGGTATCCTCTGCATTCACGCAAGACAGTGGCAGCACGGCGACAAAGAAGTGCTTTCTTCTGTGTTTACAATATTATCTTAAGGGCAGTGACATGACGCAGTGGGTCAGAGCACTTGCTGCTAAGCCCAGTGACCTGAGTTGATCCATGGTGGAAGGAGGGAGCCAGCTCCCACAAGTTATCCTCTGACCTTCATAGGAGTGCCATGACACCCGTGGACGGACACACACACACACACATACACCTCAAATAAATGCAAGTTTCAAAAAGAAAAGTCAGTTTTATCTGGGGAGTATCCTGTGCTAACAGGTTCTCCCCATCTCCCGCTCTGCTTTCTCGGTGACTTTAATTGTATTGCTATTATGATGATGATGGTGTGCACATGTGAGTGTAGGAGGTGCCCACAGATCACAGCGCCCATGGAGAGGTCAGAGGACAACCTTCTGGAGCTGTCTCTCTTCTTCACTGTGGGCTCTGTCTACTCAACAAGCACTCTACCCACTGGGCCATCTTGCCAGCCTGTGACCTATAGTTGAAGATTACATTTAAACTTCCAGAGAGTAAAGGTGTAACCCTGATGTGTTTCCCTCTCCTACCCCATCCATCTACTTGAGTTCTTGTAACAATCAGTTAAATCATAGCATGTGTGGTCATGTCATTGTAACTGGAGTTTTTCTTTCCAGCCTGATCCTGCCGCTGCTTCAGCCCCAAATAAACACACAAAGACTTATGTTAATTATAAAACTGTAGGGCTTCTTACTGACTAGCTCTTTCTTAATTATTAACCCATTTCTATTAATATGTGTATTTCCACGTGGTCTTGGCTTACCGGAGAATGTTCGGATCTGTTACTCCTTTCCCGGCTACATGGCATCTCTTCTCGATCTCTCTCTGCTTACCTTTCCCAGAATTCTCCTCATCTCCTACTCCCGCTTATCTTCCTGCCTCTATTGACCAAACAGTGTTTTATCAACCAATAAGAGAAACACATATAGAAGGACATCCCCCATCATGTCATATTCTAGTAAATGTCACCTAAAAAGAGTGGCCTTTTTACCACATTTTTTTTCTGGACCTAGTTGGTTTTCTTAGTAACATAAATAATTCAGTAGCTTAATTTTTGTCCCTCCTATTAGAATGTAAACTCAGTGAAGGCAGAGACCATGCTGTCTCATTTCTAATTCCTGGAGAAATATTCGGCATGGATTATGATCGTGAATGCACAAATAAATGCCCACGGATGGAGCATTTAGAGCACAGATCAGATTATATGTGTGTGTTGCCTAGTTTCCTTCATCTTGACAGAAACTAGAGCTCTCTGGGAAGAAGGAACCTCAATTGAGAAGTTGCCTCTATCAGATTGGCCTGAGGCAAGTCTCTGGTACATTTTCTTGATTAATGTTTGATATGGATAGCCCAGCACACTGTGGACAGTGACAGCCCTGGACATGTGCTCCTGGGTTGTATAAGAAAGCATGCCAGGGGAACAAGCCAGTGAGCAGCATTGCTCTGTGGTGGTCTCTGCTTCAGTTCCTGCCTCCAGGTTTCCTGCTTGAGTTTCTGCCTTGGCTTCTTCCCTCAGCGATGGAGTGTGACCGATAATCTAAAAACAAATACCCCTTTCCTCTTGCCTTTCTTTGGTCATGGTGTTTATCATAGCATAGCAACCGAAAGCAAAACGTGCATGTGTGCTTGTGTGTGTGTGTGTGTGCGTGGATGCATGCACCGTGCTCATGCAGATCGGAGGACAGTCTGTGGAGGCTGGCTGTGCCCTTCACCACATAGGCTCTGGAGACCATCAGGCTTACTGACAAGCACCTTCAGCTGCTGAGCCATGGCATGGACATCTGAGTTTTCTTGAGATTTCACTTATTAATGATTTTTAGTTTCTTCAAGCTATATGACCTCAAGGCTTCTCTTCTAATTCTTCCAGTGCAAGTCCAGTAGATGTCTTGCAGATATTTAGAGTTGGCAGAGTGAATGAAGCCACAGAGTTTTTGAGCAAACTGGGCAATGTGCGGCCCTTATTTCATGGGTCTCCTGTGCGAAACATTCTTGGAATCTTGTCCCGGTAAGATGCGTCATCTTTAGTTTTTAGTTTTCAGGCTCACGAATGTGAAATGTCCCCCTTTCTTGTCTACTTTTGTCTAAATTGTGTATTTGATGCTAAACAATGCCAAAGTAAAGACACAATCACATGGGCTTTTCAGTTAAAAGCAGCAAATCTATACATAGAGAAAATTACATGTCAACTACATTTTGTATTTGTGATTATATATTTGTGGGTTGTTTTCTTTTTAAAATTTTCTAAATAGGTATGAATTACTCCTTGAAATTTGGGCATGGTGATGCCTATAATTCTAACACTCAGCAGGCTGAGGCAGGATGATGGCATCTAGTTCAAGCTCAGTTTTGGCTACAGAATGAATTCAAGGACATCCAGTGTTGGTAGAATTTTCCTGAATAAATGCACAGAGACTTAGTATTAATTATAAATGCTTAATAGCTCAGGATTGTTACTAGCTATCTCTTACGTTTTAAATTAACCCATATTTACCTATGCTCTACCATGTGGCTTGAACAGGATGTTCATGTCCTACTTCCTCTATGTCTCCTGGGACTACTTAGACCCTGCCCTTCTTCCCAGCATTCCCCTAGTCTGGCTGCCCTGCCCAGTCTCTTCTACCCAGCTCAATAGACCAGTCAGCTCTTTATTAACTAATGAGAGTAATGCTTATTTGCAGTATACAAAGATTGTTCCACAGCAAGCCAGGGCTAAATAGCAAGACCCTGGCTCAAAAAACAAACTGCAAATGCACACACACACACACACACACACACACACACACACACCCCAAAACCAAAACAATCAATTGCTCCTTCACAATGACCTCTTATGAAAAAGAGCTAGCCTACATTCCACAGTCAGAGTGTCCAGGGAATGTGAGTTATTTATCCAAAGCACAACCCAAGTTTTCTGATTGCTTTAGATAATTTCTTAATATTGGAAGAGAAGCTGAAGTTACGGGGCAAGGGGAATTAGAAGTATATTTTGGTTCTTTATTCAAGCACCTAGGAAAATTAAAAGGTACCACATGAGGTGGTGATGCAGTAATTCCAGTATTCTGGAGGCAGAGGCAGGCAGGTCTCTGTGAGTTCAAAGCAACTACAGAGCTAGTTGCAGGCCACCCAGGGCTGTATAGTAAGACTCTGTCTAAAAAGAAGAGGAAGAGGAAGAAGAAGACAAAACGGAAGAGGAAGAAAGGAGAAGAAGGAGGAGGGGGAGGGGAAGAAGAAGAAGCTGAAACTTAAGGGTTGGGATGTGACTTAGTGACAGAGTGCCTAGCATGAGTGAGGTCCTGGGTTCAATCCCAAGTACTGAAAAACAAACAAATTAATGGTATAGAAAAGTTCTTTCTATACAGGACAGAATATCAAAAACCATCTTATAAAATCAATTCAGTCTTCTGGTACAAAATTCTAACAATTGATAGTTCTGTAATCAAGAACAGAAGCCTTCCTTGGCCTGTCTGTAGAGAACGCCATGTTTTTGTGCTGAGAGGATTCTGAATGTTTGAAGTCCAGTGGGCACCTGTATAAGATCCTAAGCGGTGAAGAGAATCAGTCAGCATTGGGCTGGCTTATGTGGGGCCTGCCTGGAGGAGGCAGGAGCATGGCCAAGAGCCTGTGTGGCCAAGAGTGATGGGGAAACAACCATAGCTGGTGACGTGCTAATGGCATGTGTTGCTCTGGGAGGCCACAGTCGTGTTTGGTATCTATAGAGTTGCTTCCAGAACTTTCTCAGATGCTGAAACCTCCAATGCCCAAGGGTCTTACATAAAATGGAGTCTGCAGAGAAAGGAAGTGGTTTTTCCCATATACTTTAAATTACATCTACATGGTGTAATAGTGTCTAATACAGTGTGAGTGCTATGAACACTGTTGACAGAAAGTGTTGCTTAAAACTAATGACAAGAAAGTTCTGTACGTATTCCATACAGATTTTTTTTCTGAATGTTTTAAATCCATGGCTAGTTGACTATAGGTATGGAGGGCCTGTTGAACCCTGACCTGGGGTTTGTAAAGACAGATGAGTAACTGTTGGTCACTGAGTTTAAAGGCTGTGTGGAGAGTCCTTTCTTCTGGTAAATCACTATCCCGCCCTTCTCTTTCAGAGGGCTGCTTTTACCTAAAGTTGTGGAAGACCGTGGTGTGCAAAGAACAGATGCTGGAAATCTGGGCAGCGGGATTTACTTCAGCGACTCACTCAGGTTGGCGTGTTCTGTCCCATCTCCCACCGCTGAGGCTCCGTGCAAACCTCCTTTAGTGAGGGAGCCTCAACACATCACTGAAAGCAGTCAATTCCCTCAACATACTTAAAAGCATGGCTTCCTGGTGAACGTTTGAGAAATGGTGTTTGAAATCATCTTAGTGTTTTTCTTTTCCGCAGAATCTTTAAAAAGGTTTTATTGCTCTTAGCTGTTTATTTAGTGTGTGGATGTGTGTATGTGAAGGGGGCTGGGGGCAGGGGAGACAAGGGCATTCCAGTGTTTTTGTGGAGCTCAGAGGACAACCTGACCTCCGCAGTCAGCTCCTTCCACCAGGTAGGTCCCAGTGATCCAGGGTCATCAGACTTGGTAGCAGGCACCTTTACCCACTGAGCCATCTTGCCAACCCACCTCAGCTTTTACATATTCTAGCTGGATCTTCTCCATTACCCTCACCTTCTCTACCCCCAGACCCCACCCCATGGGTAAATCCTCTCATATCACAGATGGGGACCTTAAGGCCACCAGGGGCTCCTGTCTCAGTCATGAAACTAAAATAGGACACATGCGGGAGGCAGCCTTTGCAATTTTGTTCTTACTCCAGGCTGGTGGTTAGTTACTCTTCTGTTACTGAAATATGACACCCCAACAAGGTGACTGACAGAAGGAAGAGTTTATTTGAGCTTGTGTTTGCAGGGAGTCAGTGTCTGTGATGGTGGCGTGAAGGCTTGGCCTTCAGGAGCAGAGAGCCAAGGGCTCACATCTACAACACAAAACAGGGCACTGAAAATGGCATGAGGCTTTGAAACTTCAAAACCAGCCCCCAGCACATACTTCCTCCAATAAGTCCACTCGCTGCTAAGCCTCCACAAACAGTGCTGTCACCTGGGGACCAAGTGTTCAAATGCCCAAGGCTGTGGAGGACAGGACATCCCACTCAAACACCACAGCAGCTGTGCTGGCTTTTGCTGACCGTCTAGTGGACTCTGTTATATACTTTTTCTCTGTTCAACAAAAGAATTCTAGGTAGACCAGATTACAGCCAACTGAGGAGTGACCGGCAGGCCTGAGAGAGGGTAGTCCTGTCAAGATCGTGAGAAAGAAGGAGCTAACACTGACGGCCTTAAGAGCAAGCTTGGTGCCAAGGATGGGGTGTGCTTGCAAGTCACGGGGAGGTTCCAAAGAAGGGAGAGGCTTATGGAAGTGATGGGCAAAATAGTTTCTTTTTCTTCTTAAGCCAAATTAAGCTGGGCATGGTGACTCACTGTTGTAACCTCAGCCCTTGGCAGACTGAGGCAGACAGATCCTTGTGAATTTGAGATAAATCTGGGCCACATAGTGAGATGCTGTCTCAAAAACAACAACGGGGGCTGGAGCGATGGCTCAGTGGTTAAGAACACTGGCTGTTCTTCCAGAGGACCTGGGTTTGATTCCCACCATCTACAAGGCAGCTCACAACCATCTGTAAATCCAATTCCAGGACATCCAACTCCCTCTTTCAGCCTCTGTGGGCACACATGTAGTTCATAAACATAAATGCAGTCAAAACACTCATACACATGAAAAATAAGTATTTTTAAAGATTTTTAAAAAGCAGCAAGCTGGCCAGTGGTGGCGCACACCTTTAATCCCAGCACTTGGGAGGCAGAGGCAGAGGATCTCTGTGAGTTCGAGGCTAGCCTGGTCTACAGAGCAAGTTCCAGGACAGGCTCCAAAGCTACAAAGAAACCCTGTCTGAAAAAAACAAAAACAAACAAACAAGCAAAAACATGATAGGACTGTAACTTGGTTAGTAGGACCTTAGCTAACACATGAGTCCTTGGTGTCTAACTCCATTACCTTACAAACCTAGTGTGGTAGCTATGAGACCCCTTTTCTGGGAGAGAGAAAAAAAGCTACCATACCTCAGGCATGGTAGCACACTCCCATAATCCTCAAACTAGGGAGGTAAACACAAGAGGATTCAGGGTTAGTGGTCAGCCCTAGCCCCATAGTAAATTCAAGAGTCTAAGCTACAATGAAACCCTGTCTTAAAAAAGGAAGAGAAAGGAAGGGAAACGAAGGGAAGGGGAGGGGAGGGAAGGGAGGGAGGAGCAAAGGAAGAAAAGCTGCTGATTCTCTGACATGGTAGTCACGAGGAAACGTCACTCTCCTGTAGACTCAGAGGGTAGGAGACTAGTATACTCTCTTTCCTTTGGCCAGCACTTGCTTGCTTAGTATTTAATGTTCTCCATAAGCTTTAGTGCAGCAAATTCAATACAGTTTTCTTACTAACAAAATGCTTTTTCTTTGAACGGGAGGAGGGATTGTAGGAACCAGAGGGGCTGAGGACATCACAAGAACACAGACCACAGAATCAACTAAGCAGGGCTCATAGGGGCCCACAGAGACTAAAGTGACAATCATGGACCCTGTATGGGTCTAAGCTAGGTCCTCTGCATATAGCTTAAGGTTGCGTAGCCTGGTGTTCTTACGGGACTCCCAACAGTGGGAGTGGAAGTGTCTATGACTCTTTCACCTGCTCTTAGGACCCTTTTCCTCCTACAGGGTTGCCTTGTCCAGCCTTGATATAAGGGTCTGTGCCTGGTCTTATTGCAGCTTGTTATGCTGGGTTAGGTTGATGTCCCTTAGAGGCCTGCCCTTTTCTGTAGGGAAGTGGAGGAGGAGTGTATCTGGAGGGGGGGGCAGAGAGGAGTGAGGGGAGGGGAAACTGCAGTCAGGGTGTAATGTGTGAGAGAAGAATTAAAAAAGAAATAGGAAGGGGAGACGAGAGAGAGAGAGAGAGAGAGAGAGAGAGAGAGAGAGAGAGAGAGAGGGAGGGAGGGAGGGAGGGAGGGAGGGAGAGAGAGAGAGGGAGAGAGAGAGAGAGAGAGAGAGAGAGAGAGAGAGAGAGAGAGAGAGAGAGAGAGAGAGAGAGAGAGAGAGAGAGAGAGAGAGAGAGGAAGGAAGAAAGAAGGCAGGCAGGCAGGCAGGCAGGCTGACTGTAGCTTTGATTTACCACTGTCTCACACATTTCTGATCTGTTAATGGGATTGTAGTGACTCATGCCTTTGATCCTAGCAGTGGGAGATAGAGGTAGTCAGATCTCTATGAGTTCAAGGACAGACAGATATTTGTTTCAGATTTGGGATTTTGTGTATACATGATGAGGTAGCTTTGGGAGGACCCGAATCCAAATGTGAAATTCATTTATGCGACATGTACACCTGATAAATGTAGCCTGCTGGTGGCTTTATACAATATGTTTAGTGTGCCCACCCTCAGACTGCAACCATCACCAGGTTAGGGTTAGAATTTTCCCTCTGTGTGTATAGAGTGCCCACCCTCAGACTGCAACCATCACAAATAGGGTTAGAATTTTCCCTCTGTGTGTATAGAGTGCCCACCCTCAGACCGCAACCATCACCAGGTTAGGGTTAGAATTTTCCATCTGTGGTGTCACATAGGTGCTCAGAGTTTTCAGTTTCAAAGACATTTCAGATTTTGGTTCACAGTTTTGGATTTGAGATGCCCTGCCTATGTTTCTTGTACAATGAAGTGAGACTGGCCGGTAACCAACCTGTGTTTATTTCCTTCTTCGTGCAGTACAAGCATTAAGTACTCAGATGCAGGGGAGACAGATGGCTCCAGACTCCTGCTTATCTGTGATGTTGCCCTGGGAAAGTGTATGGACTTACTTAAGAAGGACTTTTCTTTAACGGAGGCACCACCAGGCTATGACAGTGTGCATGGAGTTTCCAGAACAGCCTCTGTCCCCACAGACTTTGAGGTATTTTATTTCAGGAGGCGCGCAGACCTTGCCTGGCACTTGAGAACAAATCAAACAGTCAGGCAAACAAACAACAACAAGAAAAAGACAAAATAGACCCCAACTGTGCAATGACCAGCCCCAGAGGGTGGCTTCTATTTTTATTAAGTATGTTTTCATTAAGTCATGCCCATCTATCTACTGCCCAAATTCAGTCATTGCTAAATTAACAAATCTGAGATTCTGTCTCTCTGGGAATTTCTGGCTGCTCTTTTCTGTGTTTGTTTACCTTCTATCGATTCCCATTTGCTCTAGGATGATGAATTTGTTGTTTATAAAACCAGTCAAGTTAAAATGAAGTACATTGTTAAATTTTGCATTCCTGGAGATCAAATAAAGGACTTCCAGCCTCATGAAAATACTGAATTAGAGGAACGCAGAGCTGTGCCTTCAAACGTTTCAAAGCTTGAAGGTAAGACAAGTTTCTTAGGTGCTGTCTTATGAAATAATATAAATGGATTTTTTTCAAAAGTATTTATATTTGTGTTTGGTAAGCAATATCTGTGACTTCCTATTTTCGTTTTATCTTGAACGTTTAAAAAGCGAGATACTGGGGTGGGGGAGGAGGGGAGGGAGAGGGAACTGAAAGTGACATGCTTAAAAAGTTAAATTAAAAAATATGAAGCAAAAAGCGAGATGCTTAAGAAAGATAAAGTGATCTGAAAATGTGGGAACGACAGACCTTGGCCGGAAACCCACTCCTCCCCTTGGCCGGAAACCCACTCCCAGGCTGATGGAGGAGTGGGTTTCCGGCCAAGGTCTGTTGTTCCCACATCAAAATCCCCTGCTTTGTCACTAGCATGCCTAACCTGACTTGTTCCTGGGGATTGTGGTTTCCCTACAGGCTTTACAGAAGGCAAGGGAAAAAATGATTCACGAAGAGACAAGAATAAAACTCAACTCAGCCCTATTTTATTCTAATTGAGCTGGACCAGGACTTCTACACTCAGCCCAGATCATTTTACTTTAGTCATACTTAAGCACAGCACAAATTTTGAAAAAAAAGTATTCAGGTATTCAGATAACAATTAACTCAGCCCCAAGTGCACATTTTAAGGCCTGTTTACATTGAGATTCCTTACAAAGTATGTCCAGCTTCTTTCACAAGAATGGGGACTGTTGACTCAGAGATAGTGCCCAAGATTTAGGGTCTAGGGAGCTTGACTCAGGTAAACACAATACCTGCGGGAGTCAGGATTGGCCTGACCCTAAGATAGAATAGAAGTCACTTAGGCAATTGTAAAGTATAAGTGACCTCACTCATAAGGGTGGGTTTATGATTTAAAAGCAATGCTCAAGATTTAGGAAAAAAGGCCTTGGATAAGTAAAAACATAAATTCTGGGAGATAGAGCAGAGCCTGTCTTATCAGGCAGCAAAGGGTCACCAGGTTGTAAATGACATCATTCCTGGCATTCCAGGAAGAGCAACTGAGCACCTCACTCATATCTGTGTGCACAAGGCTCTTTGTTCTCCACAGGGGATGGCCTAATAAAGCAATTCATTTTTGGGTCTCTATTGTTTTGTTGCTATAGCAAAACACTAGGTGTGTTATAAAGAAAATTTTCTAATACTTATATGTGTGTGCGTCTGTGTGTGTGTGTCTTTGTGTCTGTATGGGTACTTGTGTGGAAGTCAGAGAACAACTTGTAAGAACTTTCTTCTTTTCACCTGTAGGCCCTGGGGGTTGAACTCACCTGTAGGCCCGCAGGATCTTGCATTCCAGACCCTCCTGGACTATAATATAGCAAGCCTGTCTCAAAACAAACCCAAACAGAGGAAGGTTGTCTGGCCTACAGTTTTAGAGGATCCAGGGCCCGGTGGTGCCATCAGCCTGACTCTGATGTGGGCCTCAAGGCAGATGGCATCACAACAGAAACATGGGTGAGAGGGAGATCACGTCATAGGCGTTCAGCCAGAGCAGGAGTGGAACCAGCAGCCAACTCCCACTAGGCTCTGCTCCTAAAGCTTCCACACACCCCAGACGTCACAGCCTGGTGACTAAGCTTCCAACACAGGAACGTTTGGGAGAGAAACTGTATCCAAGCCGTGGCATCCGCAGAACAAGGTCAGGGTGCAATAGTAAAGGTGGGTAGAAAAGCAGATGTGACCGTAGAGTCAGGACGCTGGTGTTGACTGTGGCTCCCTCCTCTTAGCAGGTGGTGGTGTCTTGAACACTTGACCTCCTCTCAGGTGGACACAAGCACATGTCCTTGTTAAATGTCACTATAAGATGAGTGAGAAAAGAGAAAGGGGCCCACAAATTGTAATGCACACCGACATCAAATAGCGGAAAGCAAGCTTCTTAGAAGACCTTGGCCCCTTATAATATCACCCAGTAAGAGTAAAAGCACTAGAGCCGGCCATGATGGTGCATGCTTTTAATCCCAGCTGGGGTCTAGGGTGTACAGGAGGATGCTTGCCACCAGTCTAACACCTGTCAAGACTACATAGCAAGATCCCTGACCATATCCTCCCGGAAAGAGCTCTTCTGTTGATAGCCAAGTTTGTTTTGGTTTGTTAGTTTGTGTCTATTGCGATGCTAGGGACTGATCCAGATTCTTGCACATTCTGGGCAAGTGCCCCCCTCTGAGCCACATCCCTGGTGTTCCTTTTTCTTTCTCCTTTTTTCTTCCCTGGGCCAAGGATTGAGCAAAGAGCCTCACACATGCTATTACTTCCTGTCGCCTACAGATCAAGATGCAGTAAAACACACATACAACATAAAATAACAATTTTTAAATAATTTAAAAATAGAAACAGACAGAAAACAATGCAAAGAATCAATGAAACAAACAGTTGGTCTTTGGAAAGAAATATTTAGGTCCTATTTTGGTCTTCAACACAAATAAATACTTTTAAAAATTATTAATGTGTGTGTGCATGCATGCACACTTGCACACGTGTGTGCATGCATGAGCACATGCACACATGTGGAGATCAGAAGACAATCCATGGTTAGTAGTTCTTTCCTTCCCATATGGGCCCTAGGGGTCAAACTCAAGTTGTCAACCTTGGAACCAAATGCCTTTATTCAATAAGCTAGCTTACCAGCCCAATAACATACTTCTTTACTGAAATAGAAAAGTAGAAACGTACTTGAGAATGCTTTCCTCGCTGACTTTACTTGCATAACTGAGTATTAAAAGCTGTAGTGGCTTGAGTGTAGCTCATTTGGTAGAGTGCTTGCTTTGTGTGCACGAAGCCCTGGGTTCAATCCTGAGCACGGCCACAACAAAAGCAAAAGAGATGAAACAAACCCAAAAGATAAAATAACAGCTGGACGTGGTGGCACACACCTGTAATCCCAGCACTTGTGACGCCGCTTTCCAGTTTGAGAGTAGACTAGGGCTAGCTACACAGGGAGATCTTAGACAAAAAACTCATAGAATACTACGAATGTAATATTATTTTCCACCTTTTCCAAGCTATAGTGTCTATACAGTGGAGTAATTAATAGGGATGATAATGATAACAACAGAGGCGTGGCTGTTTTAAAGCTGACGTTGTGTTTATACGGTTCAGATTTCCAGTTACCAGACATCAAGCCCCTTGCCAACATCAAAGCTGGCCTTCAGGATGCATCTGCGAATTCTGTCCCCCTTGAGAGTGTTCACATCAGGGGAAAAATAATAGACTTTGTAGCCCAGGTATGCTTTTTGTGGTTTTCTGACACATAATTCAATGAATATAAGTCATAAATAAGAATTTGGTTGCAGTTATATGAACTAAATGAAATACATATCAAAATGCGTATATTACTTGTTTAAGGAATAATGGAAGGGAAAACTTTTTAAATTAAGTACTTAATACAGACTTTTTTTTCAAATATTTTATCTATAGTTGGTTGAATCCATCATGGGATTGGCATCCACAGATATAGAAGACCAATTGTATATTATTCTAGAATCTACTCGTTAAATGCATTTTCCACTTACATTTTTAGCTTATCATGGATTTATTGGGATATGGCCCCATCATAGGGCCAGGTATGTCTGTATTCCAGAAGTTCCCAGCCATATGACACTTGGGAGGCAGCAAAATTCTTAGTACAAGAGGGGCCTTTGGACTTCTACTCTGGTCAGGTATATATAACTGCCTAAATCCACAGCTGGTGCACTGGGTCACATGGCATGAACGGTCAACTGTGGTGTGCAAAGTATCGACCCCGAAACCAGGCTTGTGAATTTAGAGGACTTGTTGAAATTTTATGGTATTTAAAATGTGATCAGTGGTGCACACCTGTAATACAAGCACTTGGAAAGTGAAGATAGGGAGGAGGTCCCAACTTAAGGTCAATTTCAGGTTCATGACCAGCCTGGACTGCATGTGACCCTATCACAAAAAAAAGAAAAAATACCAAAACACAAAAAGTTTTTAGGAAATGAGTATGTATAATTATTTTCGCTAGTTGTTCTTATAAATGTTTCATGTGATTTTTTTTTCAATTATATGGAATTTCTTTTCCTTCCTCTTTCAGGTCATTGTTTTTCAGACATACACAAATCAAAGTCCTGTGCCTATTGAGGCAAAGTACATCTTTCCTTTGGACGATAAGGCAGCCGTGTGTGGCTTTGAGGCTTTTATCAATGGGAAGCACATAGTAGGCGAGGTAAGAGACTAAAGCACAGAGTTCCCATATTCCCACATCTTCATTACCTGAGTGCCCATGGCTCTAAGGTTGAGAAACAGCAGCATTAAAACCAAAAGTACAGTTAGCCTCCCCTGGCGGGTCCCTCCCTAACCAAAGAGGAGGAGGAAGAGGAGGAGGAAGATGAAGAAGGACATGGTAGCCAGGCAGTGGTGGTGCACACCTTTAATCCCAGCAGAGGCAGGTATATCTCTGAGTTCTAGGCCAGTGTGATCTACAGAGCAAGTTCCAGGGCAGCCAGGCCTATGTAGAGAAACCCTGTCTCAAAGAACAAAACAAAACAAAAAAGTCTTTCCCAAAGTTGGCCATGGCACCTCATAAATGTGATCTCAGCAGAGGCAGGAGGATTATTTCAAGTTCAAGGCCAGTCTAGGGTACATGGTGAATTCCAGGCTAGTCTAATATGGAGTGAGACTGGTCTCAAAAAAAAATCAAAACAAACAAAGTCGTCATAATAATTGTCTTTTCCAGATAAAGGAGAAGGAGCAAGCCCAGCAGGAATACAGAGAGGCTGTCAGCCACGGCCATGGCGCCTACTTGATGGACCAGGACACTCCGGTACGGCTCGGTATTCGCCAAATGGACAGTGCATTATAGGAAATGATTTGAAATAGGAATCCATAGTAGAAACAAAGACGGTTTATGGTAATCTAGGCTTATAAGATCTCTCGTAAATATCACAGATGGTGCCATGCAACATAATCGCAGCACTTGAAAGGTAGAGGCAAGAGAATTGCTGCAAGTTCAAGACCCATCTGTTCTACATAGTAAACTCTAGGCTGTGCAGAACTGCCAACAAGACCTTGTCTCAAACACATTAATGAAAATCCCTTAGGAGTAAGGGAGGCCAAGCCAGCCGTAGCCATGTGTGCTATCCAGATAAATGGGGAAATGAAGTTGGTGCTACAGGAAACAGGAAGAGCCACTGGGCACTGAGTTCCAGAACTGAAGGCATATATTTGGAGTACACAATCCCAACTGTAAAATGTAATAATATATGCTTTTCCCAGAACTAAACCTATCAACATGTCCAGTTTTTACCAAGTTATAACCTGGAAGGCACTCCTGAAAGTGCTTTTGTAAATTTAATGTCTGGTTGAGGGAAGAACTAAAGGTTAATGCTGAACTACGGGATAAATTGCTTTTATTTATTTATTCATCCTTTCATTCATTTATTCTGTGCATGCACACTCTCATACCACAGCATGCGGAAGTCAAAGGGCAGCTTTCTGGAGTTGGCTCTCTTCTTCTACCACATAGGTCCAGGAAACTGAATTCAGGTCATCAGCTTGGTGGCTAGTGCCTTCACCATCCAATGAACCCATTCCTGGCCTCCTATTCATGCACTTTAGGGACTGGCACTATGAATTCTTTAATAATTCCCCTTTGTCGTTTTAGCACTTTCCTACAAATGTCAAAAGCAGAAATTTAGGGCTTGTGAGATGGCTTTGCAAGTAGAAGTGCTCAGTGTACAAGCTCAATGCCCTGAGTTGGGTCCCCAGAACCCACATAGAGGAAGCATGGGAAACTGATTTCCTTTGTCAGTTGTCATCTGACACACATATATGGAAAACAATGCTCACTCTCACATACATATGCACACCATAGCACATACATGCCCACATTCACACACAATTAATGCCCATGCATACTCACACACCTCATGCCACACATACGTCATGCACATACATATATACATCATGCACACACACTCAATAAGTGTAAAAATGAACAAAATAGTACTAACACTTAAGCCTACATTAATCGTTAATCTCCTACTCTTCTAATCCAAATGCATTAGATTTTTATCATAGAGAGGATGGCAAGTATACTTAGAGATGTTGAAATGAGCTCCTTAGATATCAGGAAAAAAGGCGTATCTAGAACTGGACACATACTGTTAGAGAGTTATCATGCTTTCCAGGTGAGAAATCACTCCAGCACGTAGAGGTAAATAAGGAAGAACTCTTTACTAATAGTACATGACCAGTTCTGGCTAAAGCATGAAAGGGAACCAGCCCTGAACAGAAACCTGCATCAGCTTATATAGTTTCACAGCCCCGCGTTACACTTTGAGTCACTAAACATGTTGCACAGAGACAGAAATTCCAAGGTTTCGTTGTTTGGTCAAATGGAGAGATTTGTGGTGTTAGATACTGTCAGAGACATCCTGAGACTGGCCAGGACTGCTTCTCCCAGGCAGCTGCCAACCAGGGTTGTCCTGTTTCCTGCTTGCCCAGCAGAATTATGCTCTTCCTGTAGTAAGAGGGCTAGGGACACTCCTTTAGCTAAATTCTACTTTGTGGAACCTCACTTTTCCTATACAGTCTCAGTAGATGCTTTGTAACTTTAATTTAGCATTCTCAGTGTCTCCTATGCACAAAGCCCTGGGTTCCACCTAGCATCAGACAAACCAGGCATGGTGCAGCACACCTGTGAGTCTTAGCATGAAAGACTCGGACATCCAAGGTCATCCTTAGCTGTTGAGTGAGCATGAGGCAAGCTTAGGATATATGAGACTGGAAAGAAAGAAAGAAAGAAAGAAAGAAAGAAAGAAAGAAAGAAAGAAAGAAAGAAAGAAAGAAAGAAAGAAAGAAAGAAAGAAAGGGAAGGAAGGCAGGGAAGACAGCAGGAAGAAAGAAAGGGGAAGGACTGAAACGTATTTCTCCATCTGTCCTGCTCAGTGGATTGCCAGCTTCTACAATAATTATCGTATTCCATTCAAAAGGTTTAAATACTTTAAAAAGTATAAACTTACCCTTAGTGAGCAGATTCAGCTTAGGGCAAGCTGAAAGCCACTTTCTGCACCCACTGGGGACCTGGTGCCAATTGCCATCAAGGTCTAAAAAGCCACAGGTCCCTCAAGGGGTTGGGTGGGGACACCCATGTGGCAAAGGGCAAGGTATGTGACCGCAGTGTGGAGTCCCTTGAGCACTTTCACAATGGCCGTCCTCTCCTCTGCTTCCCACAGATGTCACCCTGTCCCCATCACTAGTGAATTGCTCCAGATTCCCCTTTACACTAGCAATGGTCTGTCTCCATTTTCTGAGGAAGAACTTGGCTCACTCTAATGACACAAGGAGTTAACTAGCAGAGAGTAGATATGCTTCTGAGTAGCTGTTTGTATTTCAGGATGTCTTCACTGTGAGTGTTGGAAACTTACCCCCTCGGGCTAAGGTTCTCATCAAAATCACCTACATCACAGAGCTCAGCATCCAAAGCCCTGTGGCCGTCTTCTTCATGCCTGCCACTGTCGCACCCTGGCAACAGGACAAGGCTTTGAATGAGAACCTTCAGGTGGGTGTGCTTACAATGAGATTCGATGGAAGCCAGGTATAGCATGTCTTTAATCCCAGCAATTGGGAGGAAGAGGTGGATAGATCTCTGTTAGTTCAAAGCTAGCCTGCTCTACATAGGGAGTTCTAGGACAGCCAAAGAACCATAGTGAGTCTCTGTCTCAAGAAGCCAATATATATATGGGTGGGAGACTGAAGAGATGGCTCTGTGGTTCAAGAGCACTTGCTGCTTTTGCAGTAGACTTGGGTTTAAATCCCAGCACCCTCGTGACAGCTAAAAACTGTAACTCCAGTACCAGAGGATACACTGATGCATCTATAGGCACTGAAAAAAACTCTTTACACTAATGGTTAGGGGTGTTCCTGACATCACTTGAATGTTAGAAGTTAATGTCATCTCCTGACCCAATGCCATGTGTCACTGCTTGGAAATGAATCTGTCTCTCTTGATGCTGTCAGCTGTGCTTGTCTGAGGTCACTGTAGTACTCTAAAAACTTACTGGAAATTCTGTTATTCACATATACGTTTCTTCTTACAGGATACAGTGGAGAAGGTTTATGTAAAGGAAATAGGGACGAAGCAAAGGTAGTACCTAAACTATAAATCCTGTGGGTTGACTCACTCCATGGGCATTGGCTTTTTTTTCTCCCCTCCCCGGACATTGGCTTTATAGCTAAGTTTTCATTTACAGGGTTGGAAAGGCTGGTGTAAAGAGAAGCCTTCCCGCCAGCCTGGTTCCAGAGCCGCATCAGTCCCAAATAAACACACAGGAGCTATATTAATTATGAAGCTGTTGGCCTTGCTTGTTTCTTACTGGCTAGCTCTGACTTAAGTAATTACCCCATAATTGTTAATCTAAGTATGTCTCTTACCGGAGAAGTTTCCGGGCTTCCTACCCCATGGCATTACATCTCGACTCTCTGTGTTTCTCCTACCCAGAGTCCTCCTGGACTCCTAGTCCCACCTATCTAACTTCCCTATTGGCCCAACAGTGCTTTATTGACATATACATAGGACTTCCCCCAGCAGGCTGAGAGGTAGAGTTCACTGCTAGACTGCTTGCTCGTATGCATGAAGCCTTGGCTTTGATTCTCAGTGCTGCGAAAAGGAAAAGAAAAGGAAGAAACTTGTTTGAGTCAACTGTGAGTGGGAATTTAAGATTTTGTACTAATAATGAATGACCTCTTCATGTTTGGTAGCTTCTCCCTGGCCATGTCCATTGAGATGCCCTACAAGATTGAATTCATTTCCAGTGACACACATGAACTGAGACAAAAGGTCAGTGAATCCTGCACTGGTTTCTGAAGAGCTCATAGTTTCCCACTAATTTTATCACATCAGAAATGTATGTATGTGGTGTGACTGTGATCTAACGCGACACCAGCTCCCATAAGCGCAGTCAGTGCTCCTTGCTGCCCCACAGGTTGGAGTCTGGTTGTCACTTGGGATGTTCCACTGTTTCTCTGCTGTTGTCCCAGGGCTTTAAATAGTCATTTTTGCTCTTTTATCTTGATTCATCCGATTCATGTAAGGATGGGGTGTAACTCAGTATATAGTGTTTGACCAACATGTATGAACCCTGGCTTTGGTCCTCATTACTGGGGGTGAGGGGCAAGCTGCTTTTTGATAGGAGTATGTAAAAATGTTTATCATTGCACAAATAAATGTATTACCATGGCATTTTCTTTTTAGATATTATTGGGGGGGCAGGCAATGGTGGCACATGCCTTTAATCCCAGCACTCAGGAGGCAGAGACAGGCAGATCTGTGTAAGTTTGAGGACAGCCTCCAAAGCTACAGAGAAACCTTGTCTCAAAAAACAAAACAAAGCAAAACCCTGTGTTAACAGTTTCCTTTTTTTTTTTTTTTTTTTTTTGGTTTTTCGAGACAGGGTTTCTCTGTGGCTTTGGAGGCTGTCCTGGAACTCGCTTGGTAGTTCATGCTGGTCTCGAACTCACAGAGATCCGCCTGCCTCTGCCTCCCGAGTGCTGGGATTAAAGACAAACAGTTTTCTTTGTTGCTATCTCCAGTCTTCTTTTGACACTCCCCCCTCCGGCCACGTGGTTTTTATTGATTCTCTTCCATTATGAGATCTTAGTTTCTCTAGGGAGCAGAAGTTACTGTGCAGGTTTAATCATTTTGGAACAACCCCTCCTCATTCATTACCTTTGTGGCTTAAAATTCAAGCAGTTGTTATCCTCAGGTGGCTGTGACTTGATTGGGACACGATGGTCTAGGAACATAGCTGCTGGCCTGTGTCACTTTGTATGGCCACTGTGTGTCTCTCCTGGTAGTCAGGCTTGCTCAGGGTCACTCCTGCGGTGGTGGATGAGTCCCCATTGGCAACAACTCAAGGCCAGCCTGTGGCACACTGCTCAGTCTTGTTCTTGGATCACATTGCCAGTAGTACTGACCAAAGGAAGTCACATGGTCACATGGCAAATCCAAGAGTAGAACAATAGATGCCACTTCCAAATGGGGAGCTCCTAAGTCACTGCAAAAGGGTAGTATCCTGGAATGCAGAGTCCTGTGGCCGTTTTGCAGTGTACTATGTGGTCATCATTATTTTAAAACTTACCATCTCGGTCTTCAAACGTGGTTTCATATTTATGGATACCTACTATACAAAATGTAACCCAAGGTGTCTGGTGAACATTGTTGTTCCAGGCTTTGATTATATGGTATGATCTCTGCTGTACCCAGATAAACATCTAGATCTGTGATCTTCAGATACAGAGTGAATTGTCTCAGACTTAACTAGATTTGACTAGATTTAACTGTATCAGTCAACCTGAGAGCTTCAGAAACCTAACCCGTCTGACAGTGCTGATTCAGAACTTTGGAATGTATTACTGCAGTGTTGATTCATAATGGGGTTATGTGAAGAACGCAGGTGCTTGCGGGGTGGCGGGTCGGTACACGGTCAGTACAGATAGGCAGGGCGCTGTCATTCCCGTCTTTACCCGGTGTGCTTGCTTTCTTTACAGAGCACAGACTGCAAGGCTGTGATTAACACTGTGGAAGGCAGCTGCTTGGACAGCAGTGGGTTTTCTCTCCACATCGGTTTGCGTGATGCGTACCTCCCAAGAATGTGGGTTGAAAAACATCCAGAAAAAGAAAGTGAGGTATGTTCCTTCTTACTTAGGAGTAGGAAACACTGCCAGCTGTGCTAGTTCGCTTAGAAAAGCTAAGGCAGGAGAATTACCACTAGTTCAAAGTATGCCTTGGCTACATAGCAAGAAAGCACCAACATACATACATACATACATACATACATACATACATACATGAAGTGGCTGAGCATAGTGCCTCATGCCTATTAATCAGTGCTTGGGAAGTAGAGGCAAGGGGAAATCAGGAGTTTAATATTATCCTTACATACAAAATTTAAGACCAGCATGTGCTATATGAGACCCTGTCTCAAAAATGTAGTAATAATAATGTTGATGATGATAATGATGATAGTAATAGAAGTAAGAGGTACCATCTATTGGGGAAAATATATAAATAAATATGCTACTAAAGTTAGAATTTGTTTTTTTTTGAAACAGGGTCTTTCTATGTAGTTTAGACTAGTCTTGACCTTTCTTTGTATCCCAGACTGGCCTTGAACTTGTGATCCTCCTGAGTTACTCCCCCAGGTGCTAGCGTACAGGTATTTGCCACCCCATCTGGTGTTAGCAGGGTGAGGGTAGCTCTTGGTCCGTGTCTCCTTGAAGGAAAGAAGACAGTTTAGAGGCACAGACAGTTTAACCAGTTTGTTTAGCAAAGCTAAGCAAAGCAAACACTCCAAAGACTGAAGTGGGCCGCCACGAAGGCAAGCAACCCAGTGCCTTTTTTTCATGGATTTTCAACAAGTTTTGTGAATATTTACAGCACGGGTGGTTTATTCATGGGGTGAGATGGCCCTTTCCCTCCCAAATCGTGGTAGATCACACCTTCCTCTTCCTCATCGTGTGTGTGTGTGTGTGTGTGTGTGTGTGTGTGTAAACATGTGCCACAGAAAGCCTGTAAAGGCCAGAAGAAAACTTTGAGTGTGTTCTCTGTTTCCCCGCGGCTTCTGGGGGTTGAAGTCAGGTCATCAGGCTTGAACAAAAGGCATGTTTACCTACTGAGCCATCCATCTCACAGGCCCTAGAAGCTTTCAGAGTTGTAGGTGTTTCCCTGTTTAAGTTCTGAGAACATCTGACCGAGTGTCTTTTTCTCCCTTTAGGCTTGCATGCTTGTCTTTCAACCGGATCTTGCGGCTACCCTTCCTGACCTCTGTGAAAAGAATGAAGTGATTATTTGTCTTGACTGTTCCAATTCCATGGAGGGTGTGACATTCATGCAGGCCAAGCAAGTTGCCCTGTACGCTCTGTCTCTGGTGGGTGAGGAGCAAAAAGTAAACCTTATGCAGTTTGGCACAGGTTAGTGCACTGTCCCCGGTGCTTCCTGTTCTCTTCTTTAACATGAGCTGTGCACACTGGTGACTGCTGGGGTCTGTGCAGTGGGAGACAGCTCAGCATGTAACTGAAGCACAGAGCGCTGAAGTCAGCGCCTCTTGGTGAAGATCCCACCTCTCCCGTTCATAAGCTTAACAGTCGCTTGAGGCAAGGCCGCTTAAACTTTTGGTGCCTTGTTTTTTCCTCATCTGTATGACTATAGCCCTGGCATCATAATCTTGAATGGGTGAAGCTAATGTAGGCCAAGGATTTTAAGCTTTGCTACATTTATAGTGGGTAAGATCCAAACGTGACCAGTGTAATCATCAGCTAAACAAAACATGAGAACCTCGGTTTATTTAATAGGAAGGCCCAAAGAGACAGGACCAACATTTGCAACCAGTGCACTCATAGATAATATGTTAGAAATGATTCAGGTAGCACCAGGCCAGCACTGTTACTAGAAGGTCAATGTCACCCTCCAGGAAGGAGAACAAGGACAACTCAAGAATATGGCAGGGCAGAACTAGGAGCGGTGGCTCAAATCTATGGATCAGGTTAATGGTTTTTGGTTTTTTTTGTTTTGTTTTGTTTTTTGAGACAGGGTTTCTCTGTATTTCTTTGGAGGCTGTCCTGGAACTCACTTTGTAGACCAGGCTGGCCTTGAACTCACAGAGATCCACCTGCCTCTGCCTCCTGAGTGCTGGGATTAAAGGCGTGCAACACCAACTCCCGGCCAGGTTAATGGTTTAACCACCAAATTACTTAAGATGACTTGAAACACAGTTATTTGGGTATGTCATCCTAGCTGGGCATTACCTAGTGGTAAAGGGATTACAAGAATAATCTTAGGGTAACCAGTCAAATGGCTAATAGTGCCTTTGAGCTGCCCATGATGGCTCATATCTGTAATACCAGCACTCCAGAGACTGAGGCAGTAGGATTGACAAGAGTTCAAGGCTAGCCTGGACTGCATTGTGAATTCCAGGCTAGCCTAAGCTAAAGAACAAGACCCTGTCTCAAAGAAATAAATACATCCCAGACAGTGGTGGCGCATGCCTTTAATCCCAGCACTCGGGAGGCAGAGACAGGCGGATCTCTGTGAGTTCAAACTCAGCCTGGTCTACAAGAGCTCATTCCAGGATAGCCTCCAAATCTACAGAGAAACCCTGTCTCGGAAAACGAAAACAAACAAAAATAAATAGGTAGATAGACAGACAGGCAGATAGGTAGATAGATTAGAGTAGGGTCAGGGGACAGTCATGTCCTGTTGACTCTCATCTTCTATGCCATCCATCTAGCTTTTTTACAACGAAGCTAGGATTGTTCTGCCAGGAACATGGATTACATAAGGATGGTGAGCACTTTGCTGGAATCTCTGCCTTGTCGGGACTGAGCTGCCCGTGCTACTGAAGTGTCCTCCACTTTGCTTTTTGTGGAAATTCGGAGACCTCTATGTAAAGCTTGACTAAGAACATCTTATATAGTATAGCTTATAGAATACGCTTGAAACATGAGTGTTTTTGTATGATAGTGTTTGTAAATAGTTCTCTGAAAAGGAAACATTCACATAAATTTCTAATGTTCTTTACAGCAGAAACAGTAGTGTACAGTAGCATTGGTGTTTAGTAGTAATCAGTCTGGTGAGTGTTTAATGACAATATATCATACCTTCTTATTACACAGGTTACAAGGAGCTATTTTCATATCCTAAGTACATTGCAAATAATAAAATGGCCACAGAGTTCATTATGGTAAGAGAACTATCCTCTCCTCCTGAGTCTTTGTCTGCGAAGCTTGAGTGGTGCTATCCAGGACTTAATCCTGGGATGTTTGCATGTCGATGGATGTGAGTCAGCTTTTTCTACAAATGCATGAGATAAACCAATTTGTAAGGAGGGGAGTTTCTTTAGTTCACACTTGCAAAGGTTTCAAACTGTATTTGCCTGGTCTTCTGGCTTTGGCAGCACAGCATGTTACAGCAAAGGAAGGAGAGTCATTCTCCACAGGGCTCAGGAACAGAGAAAGGCAGGGGTTGGGGGCCCAGTATCCCCATCTTTAAGGGCACACACCCCAATCTGAATCCTAGCACACGAGGTCCCATCAATTCCCAACAGCACCATGGACAGTTAATAAAACTTTTGTGGGGTGGGAGATGTCAGTGATGGTAAGGATGGTATGACCTTTATCTAATTGGGATTTAGCAAGAGTGAAAAGAGAGAAGTCAGATTTGTAATCTCAGCACTCAACAGGCAGAAGCAGGAGGATCAGGAGTTCAGAACAAGGAAGTTAGCAACTTAGGAAGTTTTGAGGCCAACCCAAGAAAGGGCTGCTGAGAAGACTCAGTGGGTGAAGACAGTGGCTGAGTTCCACCCTGGGACCCACATGTTAGAAGGAGAAAATTGGCTTACACAAGTTGTTGTGTGACCTTTACATGTGCTCCATGGCACCCATGAGCTCCACCCCACCCCCACACAAGTCAAAAAGGAAGAAAACTTGCCTATGTTCCTACCACACAATATGACTCCATAAGCATTTTGGAAAATGAACAGTCGTATTGCCCAGGCCAGCAAAGTCAGGGGTGCTTTGGAACATGTCTCTGCATAGATGTTTAGTTCTTTGAAAACTAGTTTTTAGAAGTTCAGGGATAATAGTATAATTGCTATGGGCTGTGGAATAAGCTAGAACGATATGAGTATCTTTGTTCCACGAGTCTATAATTTTTTATGACACTGTGTCTCCAGGTTCTGACATGCTTGCTTCAATGAATGAGAAATTAATGAGAGCAGGTTGGTGTCCATGATGGAGAGACTGGGAGTATAAACTGATGTTAAAGGGACTTAACCAGTAAACTTGCTTAGGAGATATTGAGTTATACAAAAGTAGAATTTAGCTAGAGGAGCGCTGCCACAGATTCAACTGGAAGTGGTGTGCTAGCCAGGCTTCCTAGGAACTACAGAGATACAAGAAAAGGAGAGCAGACCTCTAATGTAGTTAGAGTTCAGGGTTACCACATCTGCTAAGTTCAAGTTCACAGAGTTCACCAAGACTGGCAGCCAGGCAGGAGGGCCTGGGTTAACAACTACCTGAGAAGAACAGCACTGCTCTGATTCAAAATAACTGGGACAGTATATTTGCTGTGTAAATGTCCCTCAAAATGGCCAAGTTTGCAGTGTCTGTCTCTGTTTAATTTACTTAAATTAAATGTGTTTAACTTAGCTGCTCAGAGTGTAACTGGGACTTATAAGAGATTTACAAGTGACTGCCTATGTGGAATGCTATAGCTCAAAATCTATCCAAACTGTAAAGAATTTCTGTTCAGTACCAGTTTCTTTTGGGACATTTGTCAAACCCAGACATGCATTATCACTAAAGAGCTTTTCCTTCAGCATCCCCTGGTGTTTGGAGTGAATCCTCACTGGGGGCTGGAAAGAGCCTTAATTTGTCGTAACATCCAGGGTGTAGCAGTTGGCCACGTTCACCACCCAGTTAATGATGAGTGTACCTTAAGATATGGCGCTTCCTCCCCTGCAGTCCGCAGCACCTACCATGGGGAACACAGACTTCTGGAAAATTCTCCGCTATTTAAGTTTCCTGTACCCTTCTGAAGGGTTACGGAACATTCTCCTCATATCTGATGGGCACCTCCAGAGTGAGAGTCTGACTCTGCAGCTTGTGAAAAGAAATATCCGGCACACCAGACTCTTCACCTGTGCTGTTGGGTAAGTCTCGGATCCGGTCACAATGGTGACAGAGGTAGCTAGTGGGCAAGTCTTTAGCTGGTGTGTCTGGAAGTTTTGCAAGTTTACAAGTTGGTACGGAGTATATGAAACCTGTATGTTGCTTGGGACCATGCCGCCAGGATCCCACAGCTACAGGGACCTTGGGCAGGCTGTTTCATGTGCAAAATGAAGGTGGAAATGAAATGCCTACCTCATGGGATTATTATTTTGCTTAAGAGTTCAGGTAACTAGCTTGTCCTCAGCGGCCTGGCCCAGCTCCGTGGGCCTGATTCCGGCACGGCTGACAATGCCTGCACTTGGGGCTGCCCCTGTCTCGCACCTGCCTTCCTCGTCCCTGTGCTGTCTATCAGTTTCCTGCATTGAAACCCTGGAGTCACAGTCTTTCCACAAGTTGTTGGAATCATTCTTGCAATTATAGTTAGCATCTGTGTAAGGGGGCGGGGGCGGGGGCGGGATCCCCCCTGATGATTGTGTACAGCTCCTCACCTGGTGCCTGCCCCTGAAGCTCCCTGTTCTGAGGCAGGCAGGGCAAATGAGTGAGGTAATATGTAGACTTGCTGTGCTGTCCTCACAAGTGAGCTAGCTCTGACTACAAGCCCCCATTATCTGGGGTCCAGGACACCCACATACCTTCCTAGCATTCCATTCCTGTCCCTTCATAGCCCCTGGAGGCGCTCTGTGGATATAGGTGATTAAAAAGCAGCTCTAGCTGTTCCCACAACTCTCCGTGCATATGCTCATTTTTTCCCATGTATCAATTGTTTGTTTTATGACAAGGTCTCACTCAATAGCCTAGACTAGCCAGGAAATTCCTATACAGACCAGGCTGGCCTGGAGCATGTGATCCTCTTCACCTCAGACTGTCAAGTGCTGAGATTACAAGCGTGTGCCACCATGCCTGGCTAGGCTGATATGTTTTGTTTTGTGGCAGGGTCTCATGCAGCCAAAGTAACAGAGGAAGACCTTGAACTCTGATCCTCTTGCCTTTGCCTCCCGAGTGTGGAATTACAGATGTGTTCTGGCACACCTGGTTTGTTCGGTGCTGGGGACTGAACCCAGTGCCTTGTGCATGCCAGGCAAACGCTCTACAATGTGAGCTACATCCTAGCTCTTTAGGTTGCTATTTTTACCAAGTACCATTCTGATATCTTTTGAGTCTTTGCTTTGTTGACGCTTGTTTTGTTTAAGAAAGGTCTCTGGGTGGCCCAGGCAGACCTCTGAATGTAACCAAGGATACCCTTGGGCTCCTGGTCTTCCTGCCTCTATCTCCCAAGTACCCTTTGCGGTTGTTATCGTTGTTAGGTTTTAAGTATGGAAGCATTAGATTTTATAGATTTATTGTTTGATGTTTTTGCTGTGGAGGTGTCTGCTAACACACCATGACCTGCAGAGCGGCATCCCTGTGAGGCAAGAAGGATATCTGGTTCAACACGACTTAGTAGCTGGTATCGCTTCAAACTTCTAAAGTCTGACACCAGGCATTTTATTTTAGGCGTATTTAAGTACAGTACAATTTGGGGAAAAAGTTGCATATGTGCACAATGCAGCTTATGACATAACTGCATCAAGCTCTTTTCAAAGTACATGTCACCTCTTCTAGGGCTTAGGGGAGAATCGGGTGTGGCCTTGGTCTTACAGATAGTGCAGAAGTCACTTTTACTGCTAACCACCAATGGTCCTGTTTGTGAGAGTCTGGAGGGGACAGGTATGTCCTCAGCCATATGGATAGTGCAGGCTCCTAACCACCTCCATTCCCAGGCTTCTGGGTGGAAAACAGGGTACACATCTCTTCCTTTGAAGAGATAACCTTGCAGTTTAACATTCCTAGTTTCCCTAGTGCTTATCTGTGAGCAAAGGCCTTCATTTTATCTGTTTAACTCGGCAACAGAAGAGTAAATTCTTCATTTATCTTTCTCAACATTGTTAGCATATATTTTACAGCTGTGCCTAAAATGTCTTGAAACGTCTTGCTGGGTGTAAGTTTGTAATCTCAGCGCTTCACAGGCGAAGCAAGAGGATTGAAAATTCAAGGTCAGTGAGGCTACTTATAGTAAGACCTATCTAAAAAACAAACAAAAACAACTGAATACCGCCAAGATTGGTGTGACGTTACAGACCTGTAAGAGGAGGCAGGATTGCTCCAAGTTCAAGGATAGCCTGAGTTACAGAGCGAGACTCTTTAAAAAAAAGTGCCTTCAAAATTAAAAACATGGAAGCCAGGTGTGGTGGCTAACGTCTTTAATCCCAGCACTCAGGTGCCAGGGTTCAGCCTGGGCTCAGATTCAGATCCCGAGGCAGGGAAGGGGCATCGTCACAAGGAAAACTTCTGACCACCAAGTGGATTGCACTCAAGTGGTCCTGAATAGCTCGAGCTGTCTTTACTTATGCGTAGAATTTTTCTTACCGGGTTACATGAACAGCCTTATTATCTTTTTTTTTTACTTTTAAGAACTATGTCATATTTTAAGGAAAACATCATAATCATAATGAAAGCCCCAATTGTTCCCCTTTATGCTTCCCCACCCCTTGCATAACCTTATTCTAGACATAGAGTTCAGCATTTTTGCAGGCTTAACTAAATATCGAGCCTGACACATCCTGCTCTTGAAGAACTTATGTCAGCTGGTAGCTACTTACAGTTATAGAGTTAAAATGTAATAAACATGGGTACTTGCTTTAAGGACAACAGTAGTCAAATTCAGATAATTCTTTCATGTCTGCAAGATATACTTGTATACAGTACCCTTTTCTGCAAGCGGGTCTTGTGTCTCAGTCTCGCTGTAAAAGGCAGACTTTGATGAGGCTCTCTTTTCCCTTCTCACAGTACCATACTTCTTCCACCAATGCAAGCTCCTGTGTGTGGTAAAGGTGGATCTTTCCATGTCGTATTTTACATTGTATTTTTCCCCACTGGAGCCTACCAGAGCCTACCATTGGTCCTGCGCTCGCTCTCAACAGTTGGCACTAAGTGTATTCCTGAGGCCTTTTCCCTGTTCTGTGTATGCATGCCCTGCTCTCCTTTCCAGAACTGTGAGACACGATTAGTGCTCCAAGTGTTGTTTTCTCATATGTACCTGTCTCTGTTGAGTCAGAAAAGTTCCCAGGATTAGTAGTAGTTGTAGTTAGTAACTCCGAATAAGAAATTTGAGAAACGTTAGCCTTTTCCCCATTGAATCTTAAGAGAAAATATTTGAAAAGGAACAGAATTTCCAGGGAAAATTACAGCTGTTACATGTGTGACTGACAAAGCAAAACTAAAAACCGCCCAAAGAATCAATAATATAATGAGAGAAAAGAGCCCACAAGCTGCATGAATTTTGCAAATTCCTAGACTTGTCCCATGGACTGCTTGTCCTTGACAAGTGAGAGTCCGTTTCCACAGGTGCCTTGCCATGAGGAAACCCGTTAGACGGGTAGTCATATGCTGATCTGAGACTAGGCTGAGTGGCTCCCAACACTCCGGAGTCAGAGGCAGGTAGATCTCTGAGTTCAAGGCCAGCCTGGTCTACAGAGTGAGTTCTAGGACAGCCAGGGATATTGCACAGAGAAACCCTGTCTGGAAAAACAAAAACAAATAAAGAAAACAACAAAATTAAAATATGTGAAATGTGATCAGTTCTACAGCAAATCGTCACATCTTAAGGACCTTGTCACAGTGTGGTGCTGGAGTATTTGAATATTTTAACTCAAAATCCAAGCAGAGTTGGAAAAAACAGGTATGTGGGGTTTTTAAAACATCTTATCTGTACTCCTGCTTTTAAATCCTATCTTCTTGCAAGTGCAATAGTAACTTCTGTCTTCTTGTGAATAGGCCTGCAAGGAGGTCAAAGCTTTTGAAAACATTTTCTTAAATGATAAGACCCAGCCAGGCCTTTGATCCCAGCACTCATCTTCCCTCTACCCCACAGGGCTGGCATTACAGAGGTGATCACCTCCAGTGGTTAGTTTTCAATGGTGATAAAATACACACAAGCTAGCCGGGCGTTGGTGGCGCACGCCTTTAATCCCAGCACTCGGGAGGCAGAGGCAGGCGGATCTCTGTGAGTTCGAGGCCAGCCTGGTCTACAGAGTGAGTTCCGGGACAGCCTCCAAAGCCACAGAGAACCCTGTCTCGAAAAACCAAAAAAAAAAAAAAAAAATACAAGCTTACAAGTCAATTTCAGTGTTATAAATTCATTCACAATGTTGTGTAACCAGCATTACCAGCCATTTCCAGAACTTCATCACCATCCCTAACAGAAAGTCTAAATAATAACTCTGTATTGCCTGCTGCCTCCAGTGCCCAAATCCATTCTACTTCCAGTCTTTATGAATTTGCCTTTTCCAGATACTTCTAGATGAGGGGCATAACACATTTGTTCTTTTGTGTCTGGCTTACTTAGCATAATGTCCACAAGACTCATCTGTGTTGTGTTTTGACAGGATTTAATTTCTTTTCTTTTTTCTTTTCTTTTCTTTTCTTTTCTTTTTGTTTTTTTGAGACAGGGTTTCTCTGTGTAGCTTTGGAGCCTGTCCTGGAACTCACTCTGTAGACCAGGCTGATCTCGAACTCACAGAGTGCCTCTGCCTTCCAAGTGCTGAGATTAAAGGTGTGTGCCACCACCACCACCACCACCACCACCCGGCTGGTTTCATTTCATTTTGTGCCAAATATCTTATTTTTTTATATCTTATTATTTTTTATTGAATTTTGAAAAAGGAGTTTCATGTAACTCAGGCTGAGCTGAAGCTGGACTTGAACTCCTGACCCTACTGCCTCCATTAAGCAAGTGTTGAGATTTCAGGTATGTGCCATAGTACCCATTTTAGGGATGAGCAACAGTCTAAAACTATGCACAGAAAATAATTCCATCATAAACACACACACTCCTTTCATTTGTTAGCCTATCAAAGAGTGTGGCTTGCTTATTTCTACCATATTGTGGTGTAAATGGCCCACAGGTGAATGATGGCGCACAGTATCTGTGTGAGCCCTTCCATTTGCTCAACTATGGGGTTGTACTCAGAAGTGACATTGCTGATTCATGTAGTGACTTTCATTTTCTTAGGATTTGCCATTCCTTTTTCCACAGCAGCCACACATTTCACATTCCCTCTGGCAATCCCCCCAGAGTTGCCAAGCTTGTGTGGCAAGTGCCTCCACTGGCTCAGACGTTGCCACAAACTGAAACAGAGAAACTCAAAATACATATATTTAACCTGCAGGCACGTTAGTCCCAGCACTCAGGAGGCAGAGACAAGTGGATCACTATGAGTTTGAGGCCAGCCTGGTCTACAAAGTGAGTTCCAGGTCAGCCAGGGCTGCATAGGAAGACCCTGTCTCAATTTTTCCCCTTTGGAAAAGTACCCCATGACAGGAAGAAAAGAAAACCAAAACATCTATAAAATCCCTAAAGACAGAATTAAGCTTTCAAGTGTTAAGTAGCTATTTTAGGATGCTGGCAACTCTACCAACTGAGATATACCCCGGCCTGCTTGTCAGCTGATAACACTGAAGAGGAAACATTTTCTCTTTTATTATAGATAGAAGCCCAGATGACCAGGATACGTTCCCCGAGCTGCCACTCTGTCTCTGTGAAGTGGCAGCAGCTCAGCAGAGACACCCCTGAGGCTCTTCAGGCTCCAGCCCAGGTCCCCTCCTTGTTTCATAATGACCGGCTCCTCGTGTACGGATTCATTCCTCATTGTACACAGGTAAAAAGATGCCTGATTCTTCACACCGTGGGAGAGACAGTGAATGTCACTTTGCCTCTTGTTGGCATTATAGTTCCCTCCCCCTGATGCCTGGCTGGGGAAGCTCTTGTTGCTCTTGAGAGGGGAGAACGTTAGCAGGAGAGCTGCTGTCACACTGATGGACACGCTGGGGTAGAAAAGCTAACACCTGTGTTTCTCCTGTCTCAGGCAACTCTGCATGCAGTCATCCAAGAGAAGGAATTCCATACAATGGTCTCAACTACGGAGCTGCAGAAGACCACTGGGACTGTAAGATTCAAACCCTAAAGTGCCGGGCTGTGGGTAGACTCAGTGGGAGAGCACAAGGTGTACCACTTCCAGGTACACTCACACGCACGCACACACATACACATACGCGCATGCACACACACACACACACACACACACACGCACACACACACACAAGCTATGGACAGAAGGGTACAATTTCAATTTCCACCTATAAGCTCCATGGACTTCCTCTGCTTTTCTGTGCTGACGCATCAGCACACGTGAAGAGTGGTCAGGGCCTCTCTGTGCAGTCGGTATGGGGACACCTTTTACTAGGTCTTCATCTGGGATTCTTGGAGCTGGGTGTGTCTCTATAGGTGTTCATGGGTATGAATAACTGCAAGGAAATGAGAGAGGTTTGCCAGGTGGAATTGTGTTTGCACACTTGCAACCCCAGTGCTTGGGAGGTAGACGAATTAAGAGTGCGAATTTGAGGTCCTCCTTGGATACAAAGCAAGTTTGGGGACAGCGTAGGCTACGACTACGTGAGACCTTTTCTCAAAACAAAATGTTTTGTTTTTGTTTGAGATACTGTCTAGGTCAAGATGGCTTTGAATAGGGAGCATTTCTCCTGCCTCAGCCTCCATTCATGAGCCACCACATTCTGTCTAACAGAAGTTGTCACAGACCCTGTGAGTAAGGGTTCGGTCCCACAAAACTCCCCAGTTCAGATGCCAGTCACAAGTCTTGGTCCTCACGTTACCGCTTGTCCAGCTTGCCAAGATTGGATAGGAGTTGGGAGTTCCCTGAGTCCTTTCTCAGAACTCAGAAAAACGGTTCATTTACTGTTGCTGGTGGTTACAGTGAAGGCCCAGATCTTTTCCCCCCTGTTTTGGAGGCTGTTGGTCCAGCCTGGCCTCGAACACACAGAGATCCGCCTGCCTCTGCCTCCCCAGTGCTGGGATTAAAGGTGTGCGCCACCAACCCCCGGCTCCTTTTTTCCTAGTTTTTCAAGACAGGGTTTCTCTGTCCTGGCTGTCCTAGAACTCACTTTGTAGACTAGGTTGGCCTCAAACTCACTGAGATCCACCTGCCTCTGCCTCCCAAGTGCTGGGATTAAAGGTGTGCACTACCACCGCCCACCTCCTCTTTTTTTCTAACAACAGTGTTCTTAATCTTTTGTTCTTTTGAGAATTTCATAGGTGGGTACTGTATTTAGATCATTTCTTTTCCTCCTTCCCTCTCCAGCTCCTCTCCTGTCAACTCCCGACTCCCTCTCAAGCTTATGACCTCTTCTTCTATAATTATGCTCTCTCTTTTCTCCCTCTCTCTCTTACACACACACACACACACACACACACACACACACACACACAGATTAAATAAATAAATAAATAAATAAATAAATAAATAAATAGAGCCCATTGAGCTCCTCCGTTAGTGTTGACAGCTCTTATGAACGCGTGCTAAGGGCTGGCCACTTGGAACTGAACAATCTGTCGGGGGTTCATCCCCGAAGCAGACTGACGGTCTGTTTCTCAGCAGCCATCGATTGCCTATAGGTTTTCATCTAGGTGGAAGGCAGCAGAGATGAGAGACCTTCCAGAAGCCTGCTGACCAGCTAGCCTCGCTACCACAGTGGCTAAGTCTTATATTCGGTGGAAAGAGAGAAGGAATACCTGAAGGCTGTGCTCTGACCTACACACACACACTGTTAGCATGTCTGTACCTCGCACGTGAGCTAACACACACACACACACACACACACACACACACACACATGTCTCTCACACAAATGTAAAGCCATTTTAATCTCCCCCTCATTGCTTACACACAGATGATTCACAAGCTGGCGGCACGAGCGTTAATCAGAGATTATGAAGACGGTATTCTCCATGACAATGAAACCAACCACGAGGTTTGTTCTCCCAATAAAGACCATGGGGCATTGTTCTATGTCATTCTTAATTTGTTCGTATCAATACCGAGTAGGGATGGCTGAATAAAGAAGAATGTGATGTCAGGGCAGCCATCAACATCTGTGATGTCAGTCCTGGGATGCAGGTGCCCAGCGGCTGTTGGCTGGATTCATTAATGGAAGAGACTTCTGTGATTTCTCCCTGTGAGAAATAGTCCAGAGGGGGGTGCTCAGAGGATGTCCACCGAGTACCTGGGATGCCATCATCTCTCATCTCTTGAGCTGTAACTCAGCAGTTCAGGGACAGGACAGTGGTCAGATGCCTCAGGACACTAGGTAGAGTCACACTCACCTTGCTCCCTCCTTGATGGACAGAGGAGGGTCCTGGCAGAGGGGCCCCCTTGGCCAGCTACCTTAGTCAAGCTGAGGTCTTAAATGAGGCTCTAGCGTTGGTGTGCAATAGCATTCCTAAAAAGGATTCCCATACCATGTAGGGACCACTGACCATCACGGTACTGTAGGACAAGAACTCAGGAGCCTTGTTTTCCTGACAGCCCCAAGCAGGAGTTGAAGTGGGGTTTATAAGCACAAAAGCCACAAACCTGTTGCCAAGTAATAGTTGCAATTTTCCACCAATCAGGATTCAAAGATTACGGGTTTTCCTTATGTGTTCTATCATAGTCAACCAACACAGACTATAAGGTTTCCAGTCTAACTAATCAGATTCATTTGTTTTTGTAATTGTTAAGAGCAGCCATGATGTTTTAGAGAACTAAAGATGTATAACAGACCATTTCTATGGTGTTAGGAGGAGGTGGGTTGGCTATTAGAAAGTTCTTATCCCCCCTAGAGTCTAAGAACCTGAACTTGGTTTCACCCTACAAGTAAAATGGAATCTGAAGTCAAAATGGCAGTACTTACGTCAAGGTGCTTTTGCCTACTCCCTTCAGTGACCACTTGGATTAGCACTGTCTGTGTTCCCTTTGATTTAAGGCCCATTTATCTCTGAGGGGATCTGACTAGCTTTGCTTTGAATGATCCTAAACAAGTAATGATACCTGCATAATTCTTCAACTTCACAGCAGGAACTTTGAGAGGATGAGGAGACTCAGCGTGAGAGAGCGCTCTGAGAGCTATAGAGGACTGTGTAACTAAATTTCTTCTATCTCAAGTCGCAGAGAGCATGTGTCACCTACCTAAGATCTGTAGACAGGCCCCCTGACTGAGTGTCTAATTTGAAGTACTGATTATAAATTTTAATACGTAGGGTGGGAAGCAGCTCAGTTGGTAGAGGGCCTACCCAGCTTTCACAAGGTTCTGAATGAATTCGATATCCAGCACTATATAAGCCAAGTGTGACGGTGCGCACCTATAATCCCACATGTGGGAAGTCGAGGCAGAGACCTCAGAAATTCAAAGTCAGCAGCAGCAACATAGCTGAGTTCCAGGCCAGCCTAAGACACATGAGACACTGTCTTAATAGAAATGGATGAGCCGTGAGTGGTGGCACACGCCTTTAATCCCAGCACTCAGGAGGTAGAGGCAGGCGGATCTCTGTGAGTTCAAGGCCAACCTGGTCTTCATAGCAGTTTCTGGAGAATACACGGTAAGAATGCCTGAAAAAATAAAAAAAAATTAAGAAGAGAAAGTGAATGTATACATTAAATGATTTATTTGTCACAGGAAAACACTTCAGATTATTTTATACCTTTTCAATCTCAGTACACATAAACAAACTAACACAGTTTCATTCTATCCTAGATGAAGAAAAAACTCATGAAATCTCTGATTATTGAACTCAGTAAAGAAAATTCTCTAATTACACAGTTTACAAGCTTTGTGGCAGTTGAGAAAAGGGTATGTATTATTGTTAATTCAAGGGTGAACTTTTATTTAGTCATCACTGAGCTGGAGATACAGCTCAGCTAGTATTCAATCCAGTTCCCAGCACCCACAGACCCACAGATGGCTTACAATGCAGCCCAAACTCCAAAGAGTCTGGCATCCTCTTCTGGCTTCTGTAAACACCACACATAAAAGAAAAAGAAAACCATCATTATTGGCAGAAGCAGTGGTGCAGGTGTTTAACTCCAGCACTGAGAGGCAAAGGCCGGTGGTGTAGCCAGGGCTACATAGTGAGACCCAGTCTCGAAACAGAACAGAAATAAGTAGATAATAAAAAGAACTGTAATAAGGCATTTCTGTAGGTGTGGAGGCATACCTACAATTCTAGCACTTAGGAGGCAGAGGCAGGAGGAGACTGAATTCAGGCTAGGCTATACAGGGAAATTCTGTCAAAAACAGCAACATTCTGCAGAGTGGTGGCCCACACCTTTAATCCCAGCACTCAGGAGACAGAGGCAGGCAGATCTCTATGAGTTCCAGGCCAGCCTGGTCTACAAAACAAGTTCCAGGAGATCCAAGGCTGTTATACAGAGAAACCCTGTCTCGAAAAACAAACAAAAGCAACATTTAGTTGTGGTGGCACAGGCTTAGTACTTCAGAGTAGAAACAGTATTGCCACAAGTTTGAGGGCAGCCTGATCAGCATTGTGAGTCCTAGGCCATCCAGGGCTACACTGGGAGACTGTATATTAAGAAAACCCAGTAATGACAGTGGCCACTCGGGCTATGGGCTATGAAGGGCAAAGTGGATAGACACCAGGAGGCAGGAGCCAGGGCCTCCTCCATAGCAGGATATTCATGCTGATTTCTATATGAATTGCATGTTGTTCTAGTTAGGTTTGATAAAAACGCATCGACCCAAAGCAATTTGGTGAGGAAAGGGTTTATTTCATCACAAGGTCACAGTCTCTCTTGGAAGGAAGTCGAGGCAGGAACCTGGAGGCAGGAACTGAAGTGGAGGCATGCAGGCATGCTGCTTACTGGCTTCTCTGGGCATGCTCAGTGCCACCTCACGGCACAGCACCACCCGTAGCCAGCTGGGGCCTTCCAAGTCAATCATCAACCAAGAACGTTCCACAGAGTTACCTACAAGCCGATCTGATGGAGGCATTTTCTCAGTTGAAGGCCCTTCTTCCCAGATGATTCTAGCTTGTGTCAAGTTGACAAAAATTAACCAGCACATATGTGTTAGTATTTTTAATGTTTTCATTATTAAGCTCTGTAGTCCTACTGACATATATGTAAATTTTAAGATGTCTATAAAAGCCAGGTTGTAGTGACACACACCTTTAATCCCAGCATTCAGCAGGCATTGGCAGGTTGATCTCTGCATTAGACGTCAGCCTGGTCTACAGAGTGAGTTCCAGGATGGTCAAGGGTACACAGAGAAACCCTGTCTTGAAAAGCAAAAAAAAAAAAAAAAAAAAAAAAGACATTTATAATCTATAATAGTTTGGGGCTGGGATGTGGTACCATACTATAGTTAAACCCCAACACAAAGTCATGCACAAAAAAGACTTGCTATAATTTTATTACTTTTTGATTTATTGTTCAGATTTCCTTTAGGCAAAGCCTATGGAGCATTTTCTTGATTGATGATTGTTATGCAAAGGCCCTCAAAGTGAGGGACTTATGTGTCACATAAATCCCCATCTAAGCCCAATGTCCACAAGGCTTTAGAATGTGTTAATTACTTAATTTGATAGTATCTTTTTAAAAAATTTAACCCCATTGCAATTCCATGTAGGACGGTGATGAGATACCTTTGGCTAATGTCCCAAATATTTCTGAACTTGTTGCCAAAGAAGATGTAGACTTTCTGCCATACGTGAGTTGGCAGGCAGAGCAGCCAGAGGCCTTCACCACACTGGTAAGTACAATCACCAGAGTTAGCCTTCCATTGCTTAATGGTGGGATATGTTCTAGAAAATACATCGGGAGAGATTTCATAGCTTCGTGAACATCCTAGAGTGAACTCCCACAAGTCCAGTGGTCCAGGACAGTTACTGAATATGAGGCCTTCCTGAAAGCAAGAGACACAGTAAACAGCAGACTATGAAGCTGCTGCTGGGGCAAGGCAGGCTGTCAATTCAAACAGTAACCTTGTTTGAATGAAACGAATAGAGACAAACATTCTTTTTTTCTTTTTTGAGACAGGGTCTCTCTACATAACTCTAGCTGTCCTGGAACTCACTATGTAGACCAGGCTGTCCTAGAACTCACAGAAATCGGCCTGCCTCTGCCTCCCAAATTCTGAGATAAAGGTGTGTGACAATACATCTGGCCACAGAAAGAATACACTCTTTTTTTTTTTTTTTTTTTTGGTTTTTTGAGACAGGGTTTCTCTGTATTGTTTTGGAGCCTGTCCTGGAGCTCACTCTATAGACTAGGGTGGCCTCGAACTCACAGAGATCCGCCTGCCTCTGCCTCCCTAGCGCTGGGATTAAAGGCATGTGCCGTCAATGCCCGGCCAAGAATACACTTTTAAAAGATAGTTTATAAAAGATTCTGGGAGCTGAGTGTGGTACACTCAATTCAGGGTTGTCCTGAGCTACATGGAAAGTTTTAGGTCAGTTGGGATACATTAGATTCTGTCTCAAAGGAATAAAAAGGTAATTGTTTAAACTTTTTTTAGACTTATTTTTTATGTGTCCACATCTGTTCAGCAGTTAAATGTGAGACCCTTCACATACAGGAAAAGACTCCCTAAGGTAGAGTGAGCAAGAGAAGCAAAGAGAACATTGTGAGGACAGTTTCAACTGTCTATAAAAAAAACAGGTCATAAATGTATTTGCTTACTGGCTCGTTTGCTTGTTCTTGCTTTTATTTGCTGTTATACATTTCCTTTTTCGTAAAGCTGGGGATTGAACACAGTACCTTATATGTGCTAAGCAAGGCCGGTACTACCCCTTAAAACTGAAGTGCGTTGTCTCCCAGGAGGACAGCTGGGTGGCACAGGGTGGGGGGAGGGATTGTTGGAGGACACTTGCATTGTTATGACATCCATTTGCCTACTCTTACTTTTGTACCATAGGCAGACATTGAGTGTTGGGCACTAAAGCAAGATGAAGTCACCGATGGCAGCAGACTGTTACAGGTACACCATTAAACAGAGCTGCACATGGTGAATTTTCAGGGGAAAAAGAAAACTCATTTCGCCAGTTTGCCATTTATGGCTATTTATTTGTACATTTCTCGTGTGTGTGCTTGCGTGCGTGCGAGCGTGCATATACTCTTATGTGCAAGTGCCGAGGCCTTCATGTGGAGATCAGAGAACAACTTGTGGGAATCAGGTCTCTCTTGCCACCACGTGAGTCCAAGGAATTGAAGTCAGGTTGACAGGTTATCAGTGAGTGCCTCTACCCACTAAGCCATTTCACTTACTCCGTCCCACGCCCCCATTTATAATATTTGAAGACAGAGTTTCACTATGTAGCCCAGGCTGGCCTCAAATTCCTGATCCTCCAGTCTGAGCCCCCTGAGTATGAGGATACTGGCATAGGTCACTGAATGCCATTTGTTTTGTAATTTTATTATCACATATGGTCATGCGGAATTTTTTGTTTGTTTTTGGATCTCAGCCTTCCAAGTAGCTAGCACCTGTTACATTTTTTTAGATTTATTTTATTTTATTTCTGTGCATGTGTGTGTGTGCGTGAGAGAGAGAGAGAGAGAGAGGGAGGGAGGGTGTGTGAGTGTATGTATGTGTGTGAGTGTACATGTATATGCATGCATGTGTGTGTATGCATGTACACTGCATGTACACAAGTGTGCAGGTGCCTGTGGAGGCCAGAAGAGGGTGTTGGAGTTGAATTACAGGTGTGAGCTGCCAGTCAGCGGGGAACTGAATTTGGGTCCTCTGAAAGAACACTTAATTTCACAGCCATCTCTCCAGCTCCTCTGACACATTTTAATTTTTTTTTAATTTCTTGCTTTGTATATGTGTGTGTTAGGATCCCTTCTATTTGTTCTTTGACAGTTTCATACATTTATATAATGGACCTTGTTCATATCTGCCCTTGCTCTTCCAGTTTCTTGTTTTGCTTTTTTGTGCCTTGAAATACCTTTCCTATTCATAGGTTATACTTTGTTTTCCCCCTTCATTTCTTTAAGGAACTCTGCCTCTTTTTTTTTTTTTCTGTGCTTGCGTGTGCTAGGCTGTGCTAGAGAGAAGTCGGGGCTTGCGTGTGCTAGAGAGAAGTCGGGGCTTGCGTGTGCTGCCCTTAACCACTGAGATTCCATCCTCACCGCAGTAATTCTGTTTACATTGAAAGCTCCATCTCACTGGAATTTGTTCTAGTGTAAGATAAAAGTGTAGAGCCAGCCTTATTCTTCTAAAGAGTCACCTAATCTCCCCAGCACTTGGCTCAAAATGCCACTTTCATTCTTGCCTGAGGACCTGTGTTTTAGTCGTTGTGACTGTGCTATCTGCCCTGCAGTAATATTCTAACTATTATGTTACCAAAGGCTTTAATCTATGAGAGGTCTAGTCCATCATTATTCATCTTTCTTAATATTCCAGTTTCTCAGCAGGCATACGTCCCAGGCATATAATCCCTGCTACTCAAGAGGCCAAGACAGGGGTATCACAGCAAGTTTATGGTCAGCCTAGGCTGCCAAGCAAGTTAAAGGCCAGCCTGGGAAACTTAGTGATATTTTTTCAAAATAAAAAAATTAAAAGCCATACATGATGATACAATGCCTTTAAGAGACAGAAGCAGAAGCCGGGCGTTGGTGGCGCACACCTTTAATCCCAGCACTCGGGAGGCAGAGGCAGGCGGATCTCTGTGAGTTCGAGGCCAGCCTGGTCTACAGAGTGAGTTCCAGGACAGCCTGCAAAGCCACAGAGAAACCTTGTCTCGAAAAACCAAAAAAAAAAAAAAAAAAAAAAAAAAGGCAGAAGCAGGCAGATTGCTAGGAGTTTCAAGCCTAAGTGACCCATATAGTGAGTTCCAGGCCATCCTGGGCCACACAGAGACCCTGTCTCATTCTGTTGTGGTATTAAAATACCTTGACAAACACCCCTTAAGGGAGAAAGGGTTGGGGCTGGAGAGATGGCTCAGCAGTTAAGAGCACTGGCTGCTCCTCTAGAGGACCCAGGGTTCAATTCCCAGCACCCACATGGCAGCTCACAACTGTCGATACTTCCAGTTCCAGGGAAGCTATCATAGTAGGTATGCATATGGTGCATATATCTGTGCATGCAGGCAAAATATCTATACACATAAAATAAAAAATATTTAAAACAAAAAAAGGGGAGAGAGGGTTTATTTTGGTTCTCAATTCCAGATGACACAGAGTCCATTGTGATAGGGAGGGTATGGGGATGGTCTAACATACTGCATTAGCAGTCTGGAAGCTGAAAGAGAATGGGAAATTGCTATTAAACCTCAAGGCCTACCCCTAATGGCATACTCTCTCTATCAAGGCTCCACTTCATAAGATTCCATGGTCTTCCCAACAGTGCCACAGCTAGAGACCAAAAGAGTTCAAACACGTGTGTCTGTAGGAGACATTCCGCATTCAAAACACAGAACTAGGGTTGCAGAAAGATCATAGCAAATTCCAGACCAACCTGGCCTACCAATCCGGCTTTATGTCAGCCTGGGCTACAGAGTAAGACAATGTCTCATGGGCCAGCAAGATGATTCAGTAGGTGAAAGTGCTTGCCTTGTAAGCCAGGCCACAAGGATTTGATCTTCAGAGCCCACCGGAGAAAGAGAGAAAAAACTCCCAAATGTCCTCTGGATTCCACACATGCACTATGGAACTCATAACACACACACACACAAACACACACACACACACACACACACCAAATGAAACAAAATTTCAAAGGACTTGTCTCAAGAAAACAAGAAGGTTAGGGTTACAGCTTATCTGTAGCAGGCTTCCCTGAGAGAAGCCCTGGGTTTTATTCTTAGTGCCCAACTAAAATATGAAAAACAACCCCTTATTCTCTTTGTTGTTGTGCTTTGAGATGGAGTCTCAATGTAATCCAGACTGACCAGAAATCCTTACATAGCCAGGTTGGCCTCAAACTCAAGATCCCACGTCTCAGCCTCCCAAATGCTGATATTGTAGGCCTGTTACCAGAGGTCTGGGTCTAGGCAAGGTGTTTCCAGGTTTAAGAGTTGATAATAGGGGGCTGGAGAGATGGCTCAGAGGTTAAGAGCACTGACTGCTCTTCCAGAGGTCTTGGGTTCAATTCCCAGCAACCACATGGTGGCTCACAACCATCTACAATTCAATCTGATGTATATATAATAAATAAATAAATCTTTAAAAAAAAGAGTTGGTAATAAGTAGGGACTGATATAGATGTCCAACATGAATAAGATAATGTTACTTGCATATTTTTTTATTTTAACTATGTGCATTTGTGTGTGTTTGTGTGCAGGTGCCTGTGAAACGCCGTGCAACTGGAGCTGCATTTGACAGTTTTGACTCAACCAAGGTAGGTACTGGGTGCTCTGGAAGAGCAGCTTCAAGACAGCTGGTGTTTAAAGCAAAGCAATAGGACCAGGCATAGTGATGACGCATGCCTTTAATCCCAGCACTCAGGAAGCAGAGGCAGGAGGAGGATCTCTGTGAGTTCCAGGCCAGCCTGGTCTATGTAATAAGTTCCAGGCTGATCAGGGTTACAGGGTGAAGTCCTATCTCAAAATAATAATAAATCAATCAATAAATAAAACCAAACAGACATAGAACAAGTCAGAGTACATGTTAAGAAAATAGCAGGCCACATGAGCAAAGATGCCCAAGGGTCCCAATTTTTGTCCGAGCATCCTTCCAGAGAAGAGGGTTTGTTTGCTAAAGGGCATAGTTTAGGTGGTTCTCTATTTAAACTGACAGATTGGATCATCTAATTATTTTCCTACTGCACATATCCCTTCTGATTTTAATTATAGACATGTCCAGTTGTGCATAGGCATAAGGTAGTAAACAGAGAGTTCTCCCTACCAGTTCACTTTGAGGACATTTGTTTGCCTTACCATCCAAGCACCTAAAGCCAGTTCAGACCAGATTAGGCTTTCTGGACTCTTACCCAGATACAGTAAGACAATTTTGAACAGAAGATGTCTAAGTTTGGCTGTTAGTGAAGGAGAGACTTTCTGTCACCCAGAAATGGGTGTGTGTATAGGCCTGTGCAGGTGGGGTTTGAAGGGGTCCTAGAAGTTGCTGGCTGTCTTGTGAAGGACCAGAGCCAAATAGGATCCCAGACTATTAACTTACCCCATGCTTCCTTTTTGTTGGGCTGGGACCCATGGCTCTGGTTCTCTTCAAATCATATAAGAATTTTGCCTTTTACCCTTGGTCTTTGTCTATTAGCTTATTATAAGACTTTTAGCCAGAAGTGGTGTGGTGGCTCACACCTGAAATCTCTCACTCAGGAGGCTGAAGTAAGAGTATTAACATGAGTATTAACAGTGGTAGGACATTTGATCAGGAATAAATAAACCAGATAAGCATTATTTATCCTTTTATAATATTTATTTGCATGCTGGCGGATAAGTCAGTGAACTGGATATATGGAGGTCTGAGAACACCTTGTGCAAATTGGGCCTCTCCATTCTAATGTGTATCTTTGAGATTGAATTTAGGCTTGGGCTCAAGTGTCCCTGGCTGCCAAGCCATCTGACCAGACTGCATATTGTTTTATTTATCTTTTGTTGTTATTTTGGGGGTGTTCGTGAGTGAACCCAGAGTCTGATTTGCTCAAGCTGGGGAAACACCCCACCACTGAGCATTGTCCCTAGCCCTCTTTTAACTTAGTTTTTTCTGAGACAGCGCTTCTCTGTACACAGTCCTGGCTGTCCTGGATCTGTAGACCAGATTGACCTCGAACTCAGAGATCCACCTGCCACCACCTCCCCAGTGCTGGGATCAAAGGAGTGTGCCACCACGGCCCGATTAACTTTTCGTTTTGAAGCAGCGTCTCTTAAATTGCCCAGTCTGGCCTTGGAATTTAGGATCTTCCTGCCTGAGTCTCCTGAGGGTGAGACTAGAGTTGAGGTCCACCACACCACCCCTGGCTGAAAGTCCTTCTTCCCGGGCCAGGGTTGATTTCTGGCATGAGCCATCCCAATCGTCCCACTGATTAGAAGAACGTTTGCTAATTTATTTTGTTCTGTTTTCTCTTCGCATGTGCAACTATGCCACCTGGGCAGCCCTTCTCGGTCTCTGAAGGGAATGAGAAACAGCCACTGCTATGTAGTAAAAGACATAAGAAAAAAAAAATAAGGATATGTGCTCTAGAACTTTCTGAAGATTTTGAAGACGTGACCCTAGAGACACAGTCACTTGAAACAGCAGAATCTCTCAAGGTCCACTCGCAGTCGAAAGTTGTGAAAGCATGCTGTGTGAATCGGATGAAAGGAGAACCACTTGAAAAATCACGGGCGCCTGACCTACGAAGTGCTCTGCCTGTCCCCCTGAGGAGGAAGAAGACTGGGGCTGCTGGGTTTTCTTCCGATTCTCTCTGTGCCCAGTCTGCTTTCCTCTCTCCTGCCCCTCCCCCTCTGCCTAGTGGCTCCTGTCCTCCCCCGCTTCCCCCTCGCTCTCCTTCTCTAGCTGGTGTCGCCCATCTTCCTCCCCCTCCCCCTCCCTGGTGTCGCCCATCTTCCTCCCCCTCCCCCCTCCCTGGTGTCGCCCATCTTCCTCCCCCTCCCCCTCCCTGGTGGCGCCCATCTTCCTCCCCCTCCCCCCTCCCTGGTGGCGCCCATCTTCCTCCCCCTCCCCCTGCCCTTGGTGGCACCCATCTTCCTCCCCCTCCCCCTGCCCTTTTTGGCACCCATCTTCCTCCCCTCCCAGGGAATTCATCCCACTTGAGTTCGGCTCACCTATGCACGGTCAAAGCCTTAATTCTGTAGGAGGTACCAACATTTTCCATGACTTAGGCTCTTCTCCCAGGCAGCGCCTTGGGGGCTTTGACGGTGTTGCTACTTCACTTGGTTCAGAGTATTCTAATCTAAGGAAAGTTTCCCAAGGCCCCAACACCCGCGTCCTCTCTCCCAGAGCCCGTGGGCTGGATTCTCTTCAAGCGTCACCTTTTCCCACTTCTTTTATGCCACTTATGTGCAGTCCTACTAAGCCACCATCTGTCCCTCCTCTTCCCACCGGTGTTCTTAGCTCTGAGCATCCTCAGAGTCCCTCTTATCTGCCTTTAGGAAGATCCAAATTCGTTCAGTCAGCTCTGTCATTGGCCAGTTCTCCCAGCTCTGCGTCATCAGATTACATTCTAAACAAGGCTTCGTTTGCCTCGCTAGAGGAAAGTTCCTTCGACACGGAAACGGATGAAGCAGGAGAATATGCAGCATGCCTGAATTTAGAAAGTGTGGAGAAAACTTCTGTGACGAGTGACACTTCCTCAGAGGAAGCCTGTGAAGAAAGCTGTCCTGCACCGTGGGCGTCACTCTTGGCTCTACAAACCGAGGTATTCCTCCTACCTCTCGTCCAGTCTGCTGTCCCTTAGCTTCAGTTTGCAGCGGTGCTTCTCAGAGCAGTCAGTCACAGAGCGTGTATGTATCGCCGGTCCTCCGTAGTGCTTCAGGGTACGTGTCGGCGTGGGAGACTGTGTCTCTCTGTGAAGAGCAGCTGAACTAAAGCTCTGTCTGCACGGTGATGGGCGATGTTTGTCATCCATTGTTAGCAACTGTTAATACTTGTCAGTTGAACACTAGCACGCCTTAAGAGGTCTAGGACTCACTTCCTAAGTTCTAGTACCAGGAATCGAAATCAAGGGGAATTTCCTATTGCCCAGTAGACACAGGTGCGGTGAGTATTCTAAATACTTTCCTAGAGGGTCTTGGAGATATGGATAGTAGCTGATATGTAGTAGTGTGGAGGGGCACAACACTCCATCCATCAAGCCAGTCAACTGTAGTTAATTTTTTTTTAACTATTTGGCTCTTTTGATGTCTGCTACCCAGCTCCCAAGTAAATATACACAGAGATTTTTTTTTTTTTTGGTTTTTCAAGACAGGGTTTCTCTGTGGCTTTGGAGGCTGTCCTGAACTTGCTCTTGTAGACCAGGCTTCTCAGATTCACAGAGATCCACCTGCCTCTGCCTCCCAAGTGCTGGGGTTAAAGGTGTGCGCCACCACTGCCCGGCGAGATTTTTTTTCTTCCTTATAAATGCCTAACCTGAGCTTGGCTTATTTCTAGCCAACTTTTCTTAAATTATTCTGTCTACCTTTTACCTCTGGGCTTTTATGTTTATCCTGTGTACCTTTCTTTACTCCATTGTTGCCTGTGTAGTGCTGGCTCCTCCTTCTCTCCTTCCTAGACCGTCTCACTCCCCAGCCCCGCCTATTTCTCTCCTGCCTAGCTATTGGCCAGTCAGCTCTTTATTAGACCATCAGATGCCTTAGACAGGCTAAGTAGCACAGCTTCACAGAGTTAAACAAATACAACATAAAAGATTACAACGCATCTTTGCATTCTTAGCATAAACAAATGTAACACATCTTAAAATAATATTTCACAACAGTCAACGCCCTGTGAATCTCACTTCAGCACTGGCTCTGAGTCCGGTCTCACATATGCAATTGTTGTGGTGGGAAATCATTTAACAAAGAGGACTCAATCCAGTGTCAGAGTAAGTCCCGGCATTACCACTTTGTGTTTATGGGCAAGGCAGATATATGCTTCAGTTACCTTAAGAGCATAACCTTGCTTGCAATCCTCCTTCCTCCGCCTCTGAGTGACTGGGATTCTAACCCTTCACAACATGCTTGGATAAGAAAGCAGTATGGTTGGGCATGGTGGTGCACACTTTTTTTTTTACTTAGAATTTTTTTAATTTAAATTAGAAACATGAATGATTCACATGTCAGTCCCAGCTCCCTCTCCCACCCCTCCTCCCTTGTCCCTCTACCAGCCCCCCCAGCCCTCCACCCAATCCCCACATCATTCCCCAGCCCTCCTTGGGGGGATCTGCAAAGTCATTTCATCCAGGGCAGGACCTAGGCCCTTCCCCATGTGTCCAGGCTGAGAGAGCATCCCTCTATTTGGAATGGGCTCCCAAAGATCATTCATACACCATGGTAAACACTGATCTACTACTCAAGGCCCCAGTGATTTCTGTGGCCTCCTCACTGAGGAGGCTTCATGGAGTCTGGATCAGTCCCCTGTTGGCTTCGCAGGCATCAGTCTGGGATTCAAGAGCTGGTGGTGCACACTTTTACTCCCATCACTGGGGAGGCACAGGCAGGTGGATCTCTGTGAGTTCAAGGACATGCTAGTCTATCATCTGAGTTCCAAAACAGCCAGGCTTATGTAGAGAGACCCTGTCTCAAAAAACAAACAAAGAAGTGAAGAAAGAAAGTAGTTTGTTTGGGATTTGGGGGGCACTTATTTTTAATAAATCTGTATGGGGTGTGTGTGTGTGTGGTGGGTGGCCATGGAGTCCAGAAGAGTGTGTTTGATCCCCTGGAGATAGGGCTACAGGTACTTGTTAGTGGCCCAACATGGATGCTGGGAGCTAAACTTGGGGCTTCCAGAAGACAGGAAGTGCTCCAGTGAACCATCTCTCTACCTCTGGGATTTGTTGTTGTTGCTCTTTATTTTCTTGAGGTAAAGTTTCATATTAAGATCTCCAAAAGCTGGGCAGTAGTGGCACACGCCATTAATCCCAGCACTGGGGAGGCAGAGGCAGGTGGATTTCTGTGAGTTCAAGACCAGCCTGGACTACAAGAGCTGGTTTCAGGACAGGCTCCAAAGCTACACAGAGAAATCCTGTCTCAAAAAACCAAAACCAAAAGAGCATCTTCAATAGAACAGTTTTAGGAGCCAGTGAGCTGGCTCAGTGGGTAAAAGTGCTTGACACCTGAGCCCAATAACCTAATTCAATCCCTGGAACCTACCATGGAAAAAGAACTGACTTCCAAAAGCTTTTCTCTGACCGATACACTATGCCTGCCTACATATTCTCTCTCCTGTCTCTCAAACAGGCGTGCGTGCGCACACGCGCACACACACACACACACGCACACACACACGCACACACACACACACCAATGAATAAAATTTTAGTTATTTATGTGCATGCCTGGTGTCTGAGGATGACAGAAGAGGACATTGGATCTCCTGGAATTGGAGTTGTATATTGCCATGTGGATGCCTGGAATTAAACCCGGATCCAAAGCAGCCCAGTCCCATCTGTGTTGTTTTTGAGACAAGATCTCATTTTGTATCTCTGACTGGCCTAAGAATGCACTATGTAGATAAGAATGGCCTAGAGCTCACAGAGATCCACCTGCCTCGACACCACCACACCTGGCTATAGTAAGTAAAACTTTTTTAAGCTGGGTGTTGGTGGCGCACGCCTTAAATCCCAGCACTCGAGGCAGAGGCAGGTGGATCTCTGTGAGTTCGAGGCCAGCCTGGTCTACCGAGTGAGTTCCAGGACAGCCTCCAAAACAATACAGAGAAACCCTGTCTCGAAAAAACCAAAAAAAAAAAAAAAAAAAAAAAAAGCCAGAGAGACATATTCAGGGGTTAAAGACTGCAAGCCTGAAAACCTGAGTTTGATCATTGAGCCAGTGTTAGGGTGGAAGGAGAGAGCTAAGTCCTCAAACTGGTCCTCTAACCTGCACAAGCATGTTCTATGTCCTAGTTAGGGTTACTATTGCTGTGATGAAACGCCATGACCAAAGGCAAGCTGGGGAGGAAAGGGTTTATTCTGCTCACACCTCCAGGGCACTGCTCACCACTGAAGACAGTCAGGACAGGAGCCTGGAGGCAGGAGCTGATGCAGAGGCCATGGAGGGAGCTGCTTACTGCCTTTCTCTGCATGGCTTGCTTAACCTGCTTTCTTATAGAACCCAGGACTACCAGCCTGGGATGGCCCCACCCATAAAGGGTCGGGTGCCTCCCCATCAATCACTAATTAAGAAAATGCCCTTCAGGGTTACCTACAACTGGATTTTTTTTTCCTGGACGGACTTTTTTTTGAGTTATACATTTTTCCCCACTCTCCTTACCTCTTTCCCTCTTTCTTTCCACCCTCCCCTCTGACCCCCGTGTTCCCAATTTACTCAGGAGATCTTGTCTTTTTCCCTTTCCTAGGCAGATCCATGCATGTCTTTCTTAGGGTCCTCTTTGTTACCTAGGTTCTCTGGGTTTGCGGCCTGTAGGCTGGATGTCCTTTGCTTTATGTCTAATATCCATTTATGAGTGAGTACATACCATGTTTGTCTTTCTAGGTCTGGGTTACCTCACTCAGGATGGTTTTTTCTAGTTCTGTCCATTTGCCTGCAAATTTCAAGATGTCATTGTTTCTTACTGCTGAGTGGTACACCATTGTGTAAATGTACCACGTTTTCCTTCTGCAGCTCCCTATGGAGGCGTTTTCTCCTGCAGCTGAGCTTCCCTCCTTTCAGAAAGCTTTAGTGTGTGTCACGATGCCATAAAACCAGCCAGCTCACTGTGATTAGGGCACACATGTGCCCTCCTCAACATCACATACATGCACACGTTTACAAAAAGATGTCCATTTCAAACTCAATAAGGACATAGATTTTTTTTTCTTTCTCCTTTTGTTGTGGGATACCCACCAGAGAAAACTGCTCTGGCATGGGTTTAAACCAATAGGAAGTATTTATTAGCCTGCTGGCAACTACACTGAGTGTCGGGACCCCAGTGTGGCCCCAAGCCTTTCTCAGGGTGAGCTTTTAAGCACAAAAACCATGTCCAGGGTTGACATACTTCAGTTAACAAGAACAGTTAGCCAGAAAAGGAACTATAGAAGCTAAAAAAAAAAAAAAAAAAAAAAAAAGCCAGATTGGTACATTCTGAGACTTTCCCAGAACTATATGGATGAGGTCTTTGTTTTAGTTTTGGCAGGTGGTGTTGCCAAAACCGTGTTGTAGAGTGCCATGAATGTAAGATCTTGACCTACAGTTAAATTTGTTTGCTTTCTTTCACTAAACTAACAGTAGCTACCACAGCTATCACAGCTCTGTGACAGGTGTGCTACAGGGGGTTCCCATGGCCCCAAAGTTTGAGTTAAAACCCTTTCTGTTTAGTTTCAGTTCGGACAAGAGGCATAGTGTCCCCCCACCTTTGTGTTGATGTACAGCAATCTTGCTATTTCCACCAACACCGGCATCCAGAAACAACAATTGCCAGCCGCACTTAGGAACCTGTGTCTTAGTCTTTGGGGCTGGCATCTGAAGGATGGCAGTGATCCTCCTCTGAGGTGGGCTCCTTTCGCCTCCCCTCAGCTGGTGGCCAAGATAGGCAGCGTCTGATGTACAACGTTGGTCTTTCTTAGCTGCTGTTCTGTAACCCAAGGTCTGTAACTCTTGCAGCAGTCCCTCAGGGGCCATTTTATAATCCATTTCCCCAGGAAACCTTTGACGGAAGGGCAGGAAGCCTGTATTTAGTGTCTTTAAACCCTGGGGCAGCCTGCTGTAACCTCCCACTGGGTCTGCCCATTTAAAAGCAAACGTGGTTGACTCACCTCTGCCAAGGGGAAGCTGAAGAACACTGTCGGGTTAGAGACAGGGAGCACAGGAAGAATCAGGCCCATGAGAATCAGAGGTCTTGGGAGTCTTCACAGACAGGAGAGGTGTATCCCAGGGTGACTGACTGACAGGGCACTAGGATGCCCGTCTCTCCAAGCCAGGCAATATGCACTGCAATTTCTTTTTTTGTTTCCAAGGTCATTGTTTAATCTGGATAGGGGTAGCTGAGCTGGTTAGTTGATGTTGAGCCAGTCCTGGGGTGTTGGTTTCTGCCCATACCCAGGGGATCTTTGTTATGTAGTCCAACCGTATCTTTTGTTTGGAGGCAGAACTTTCAGCTATGAGATATTCTTCTGATAGAGGTAAAACACCAACATTTTGATGGGTACTATTAGTCTAACTGCATCTCATCATCAGAGAAGGTGATGGTGGCTTTCAGGTTATGCAAATAGTCTTCTCCCATTCAGTTCCCTATTGTTAAGCACCCTTTGAGCTATCTCCAGCAACTAGGACCTGCATATATATTTTTTAACTTTTCAGCTTTTTTTTTTCCCGGTTTTTCAAGACAGGGTTTCTCTGTGGCTTTGGAGGCTGTCCTGGAACTAGCTCTGTAGACCAGGCTGGTCTTGAACTCACAGAGATCCACCTGCCTCTGCCTCCTGAGTGCTTGGATTAAAGGTGTGCTTGCGCTGTTGCTGCTGCTGCTGCTGCTGCTGCCGCCGCCGCCGCCACACCGCCACCACCACCACCACCACCACCTGGCCGACTTTTTAGCTTTTATAACTTTTTCTTTTAAATATCTGGGGCTGACTAGGTGACAAAGGAAATCTTTCTATAAATTATAAAAGAGAAAGGAGTGAACTGTCTCTTTTCCCTCAAGTTCAGCCCAGGGGAACTTTCCCCTTGTGGGGGCGGGGGCTGCTTAGAGCAGGCTTGGAGTGAAGCAGAAGGGATGCTCACCTAGGGGACCTATTTCCCCCTCCCAGGGATGCTCTCCTAGGGGGAACTAAGGGGAAATATCTTATATGGCAGGGGCTCTGAATGAGAGGCCCAACCCCCTACCACCTCCACACAGGGACCGACCCTGACCGTGAGCAAGAGTCAAGCAACAAAACAAGCAAGACCCCCTGCTCCTGGAGTGGGACAGGTGGAGGGTTTTTTTGGTTTCTCTGGGTGACTTGGCAGAGCCAAAGAGGATTCAGGTCCCCAGTGGGATGGTGCACAAGTCTTTAGCCAGGAGTTCTCACACCAGAGAAAGTCACTGGTCAATTCAGGGAACAGAACTGACAGAAACACATAGAAAGGCCACAGAGACACGTACACACAGAGAGACACAGTAAAGACAACCAGGGGCAGCCACCATACAATTATACACTAAACAGACAGAGTGACCCGTGCTGTCTCATGGATCCCAGACACTGGATCAGTGGCTGTGTGCCTAATTTGTTTCCTTTTGGGGTGGAGGTGTCAGACCCTGTGAAGCATTAGGCAGCAATTGATCAAAGGATTCCTAGGGACCTTTAACATCTCAGGTGTACAAGTCTTTATTAGCTGGCTGAGTGTTCGGGACCCCAGTGTAGTCCCAAGCCTTTCTCAGGGTGAGCTTTTAAGCACAAAAACCATGTCCTAGGTTGACATACTTAACAAGAACAGCCAGCCAGAAGCATTACAGAAGCTTAAAAAGTCAGGTTAGTGCACTTAGAGACTTTCCTAGAACTATGGACTCTGATGGATGAGGTCTTTGTTTCAGTTTTGACAGGTGGTGCTGTCTGTGTGCTAAGTTCTATGGTCTGAATGACACTTCCATCATGGAGTCAGTTGTTCTAAGGTCTGAGGCCATGTCACACTTTGTCTGATGATATATTTTTAATACTGAAAAAGGAATCATGCTACAAAAATACTGTATGACATAGGATCTACAATTAACAATATAATTATTTTCTTAATTTCACAGGATGGTTTTTGGAAACTGACGCCAGAACTAGGACTTATACTAAAACTCAATGTAAATGTTCTACACAAGTTTCTTGAAGAGAAAGGCATTCGATCTCTAGGTAAGTCACTGTTTTTCAATTAATTAATTCATTGTGTTCCTTCATTTTTCCAGTTGTTTATAGGCAAAACTCCTCATTGTATTGTGTTCATTTAGTAGTTTTGGAAGTTACATGTGAATAGAATTGGATTTTTTGTTTTGTTTTGCTTTGTTTTTCAAGACAGGGTTTCTCTGTATCTTTGGAGTCTATCCTGGAACTCACTCTGTAGACCAGGCTGGCCTCTGCCTCCCGAGTACTAGTATTAAAGGCTTGGACCACCACTGCCTAATGGATTTTTTTTCTTTGTTTTGAGATAGGGTTTCATTGTGTAGCCCTGGCTAGCCTGGAACTCTCTATGTAGACCAAGCTGGCTTTGAGCTCACAGAGATCTGTTTGCCTCTGCTTTACAAGTGCTGTGGTGAAAGGCATGCACCACTACCAGAATTAGATTTATTGACACTCAAAGAAAACTCATAGCTTTACCATTGATGATAGTATTGTATAGGCAATTTTATTAGAGTGCATGGCACCAATTACTGCAGAAGAACAACCCCAAATCTGAGAATAGTAACACACACCTATAATCCTGCCATTTGGTAGGCTAAGCCAGATGAATCTTGAGTTTGAGACTATATAATGAGATCCTGCCGGTAATAACACTATCCAAAAGCTCAATTTAACATGCTCAATAATTACTTTCTTGGCCACAACATATGTATGTATAGGCCAACAGGAACATTCTCTTCCACATGGTAATTTTACTTTGAGACCTTGGCACTTTCTGTATTGTGTCTCTCCCATCTGTAACAGGTGACCCTAGCATCAGGGAAAGACAGAGTACTCTGAGATTTTCATCTTATTCCATCAAGAGGCAGGATCGAGACATGGCTCAAGGCTTAGGAACACAAACTGCTCTTGCAGAGGACCCAGTTTGGTTCTAAGCACCCTCATCAACCGGCTGACAACTACCTTAAATTCCAGTTCCTTATTTTATTTTCTAGTGTTTTGAGACAAGCTCTCCATTGTAACCCTAGCAACCCTGGAATTCACTATATAGTCCAGGCTGGCCCGAGTTCTGGAATTAAAGGTGTATGCTGCCACTTCTGGCTTTAACTACAGTTCTAAGGGATCTAACACCCTCTTCTGGCCTCTGAGGATGCCCATCATTCACACGCATAAACCCACACACAAATAGACACATGATTTAAATAAATAAATATTTTTAAAGGAAGAAAGAAAACAACAAAGGCTGAGGATGGACGCAGGCCAAGCCCTCATATACTGTTGGTGAGTCACTGTGGAAATCCATACGATGGTTCAAAAAAAAAAACTAAAAATAATTGGCCAGCTGGTGGTAGCGCATGCCTTTAATCTCAGTACTCCGTAGGCAGAGGCAGATGGATCTCTGAGAACTCAAAGCCCAGCCTGGTCTACAGAGTGAGTTCTAGGACAGTTAGGGTGGTTACACAGAGAAACCTTGTCTTGAAAAACAAACAAAAACTAGAAATGGAATTATTATGTGATCCATTTGTACCACTCCTGGGCTTATGTCTGAGGGAAGCTAAATCAGCATATCATAGAGGTACTTTCCTGGCCATGTTTAATGTGGCACAATTCAAACACTCAAGATATGAAACTAATCTAGATGTGCGTCAGCATAGGAATAAAGAAAATTCAGCCAGGCAGTGGTGGCTCATACCTTTAATCCCCCCACTTGAGAGACAGAGGCAGGTGGATCTGAGTTTGAGCCCAGCCTGGTCTAGAGAGATAGTTCCACGATAGCCAGGGCTACCAAAAAAACCCTGTCTTGAAAAATAAAGAAAAGAAAAAGAAAGTTTGGTGCTATACACAATGAAATGTTATTCAGACATAAAGAAGAATGAACCAGGCATGATGGCTTATGCCTGTATCTCAGCACTTTAGGAGGTTGAAGAAGGAGGATTGCCACGAGTATGAGACAGCCTGAGCTGCAGACTAAGACCTATTAAAACAAGGGTGGAGAGATGGCCCCGCAGTTAAAACCAGACTGCTCTTGCCAGGGACCTGGGTTTTTTCCCATCATCCACATAACCATCTCACATTACTGTCTAACTCCAGTTCCAGGGAATTTAATGACCTCTTCTGGCCTCCAAAAACACTTCACACATGTAGTACACATAAATACATGCAGGCAAAACGTTTATACACATAAACAAAAACAAGTAAATCTTTAAAAACAAAACAAAGGCAGCATTGATATACAGATTAAGCGTGCCATTCCTTCTGCTGTCCCCCAGTTAAAGCCTCAAAGACGACACAAGAGTTGTCCTTATCAGTTTTCCTTTTTTGTTGATTTTGCTTTTCTCATTGTTTTTTCTTGCATCATTTCCCAGAATACTAAAATTATGCAAACATCACAGTGGTTTGTTGAGTTTCACAGCCAAACCTTAGCTCCAGGAATGAGTCTGTCTATCTGATGTAGCTTAAGATAAATCAAATACATTCTATCCAGGTAAAGTCACTTTTGTTCTAGGCTGTAAAGGTACTTCCTCTTTCTGACCCAAGCTAGGGAAATCCAACTGGTCTTGCCCCCTGGTCCTTAAATTCCAGTGGATTGCAGTCTCTGCAGTCTTGCATCTGCCTTCGTCTCTTCCTTTGCTTTCAAGCCAGTCCTCAGACACTGGACTGAGATGTTCGGGATAACTGAGCTGTGTGTGTGCACATGCTCATGTTTATGTATGTAGTATGTATTAAAGCACATGGGGTTTTATTAAAGATTTTTAAAGACTTTTTTAAAAGATTTATTTATTATGTATACATCGTTTTGCCTGCATGTGTGTGCCTGCAGTCCAGAAGATGGCACCAGATCTCATTACAGATGATTGTGAGCCACCATGTGGTTGCTGGGAATTGAACTCAGGACCTCTAGGAGAGAAGCAAGTGCTCTTAACTGCTGAGCCATCTCTCCAACCCTAAAGATTCTTTTTTTTTTTTTTTGATAGTTATATAGCCCAGGCTGGCTACTACTAAAGTCTCTTACATGTAGGGATTACAGAAGTGCTCCTGGAACTTGCTCTGTAGACCAGGCTGGCCTCGAACTCACAGAGATCCGCCTGCCTCTGCCTCCCGAGTGCTGGGATTAAAGGCGTGCGCCACCACCGCCCGGCTTAAATCTAGTTTTGTTTTAGTTTGTTTTGTTTAAAGTCTGGAGATTGAATTTAGAGTCTCATGTAGGGTAACCAAGCACCCTACAGCTTGAGTTGTAGTCCCAACCCAAAATGAAATGAACATTCTGTTTGTTTGTTTGTCTCTTGATTTTTCAAGATAAATTCTCTGTGTAGTCCTGGCTATCCTAGAGCTTGCTCTGTAGACTGGGCTGTTCTCAGACTCAGAAATCAGCCAGCCTGCCTTTGCCTCCCAAGTGTCGCGATTAAAGGCATGTATCACTACCATTCTGGCAAAATGAGTAATTTTTATGAGCCTTCTGAAACTGATTTTCAGAATATAACATATGGGCTACCAAGATAGCTCAATGGTTAAAGAGACTTAGTGCTTAAGCCTGGCGTGCTTCTTAGAGCCTGTGTTACAGCAGAAAAAAAAAAGAACTGACTCTGAAAAAGTTGTCCTCTGACCTCCATATGCACACTGTGGCATACGTGTCACCCTCCCCACACATTGTATATACACAATTAAAACAAGTGAACAGAGCTAGAGAGATCCTGAGTTCAGTTCCCAACATCCACATGGTGACTCACAACTCCATGTAACCCCTGCTCAGTGACCAGTGCCACCTGTGCTTAACATAAATAATATGTCTGGATTTGTCTGGTACTGATGGCCAGAATGAGTTTGCTACACTGGCATAGTCACATAGGTCTGTTTTTTATCTGCTGTGTGTTTAGGTTTCCTCCAAAATATTTATAGCAAGAACCTAGAAACTAAAGGTCTTCATCATACTCCATGCTTGGTCACTGAAGACAGCAAGTGGCAGGCTGAGAGAGTCTGGGTGCAGCTCAGTGTCCAAAGAGCCATCAGGATAATGGGATAGGCACACATGTTCTGATTGTTCACAGTTTCTGTTTAAGGCAGGTGAGATGACTCAGAGGTTAAGAGCACTGGCTGCTCTTCCTGAGGTCCTCAGTTCAAATCCCAGCAACCACATCATGGCTCACAACCATCTATAATGAGATCTGATGCCCTCTTCTGGCCTGTTTTTTTTTTTTGAAAAAAATTCTGTTTAAATAAAATGTTAATTAAGGACCTTTAGAAGGGGGGGTGTTGGGAAATGGGATAGAGGAGGTGGGGAGGTGGGAGAAGGGGAGGGAAGGGAGAACTGTGGTTGGAATGTAAAATGAGAAAAATTTAATTAAATTTTTAAAAAAGGACCTTTAGAATATATAGGGTTGGTTTTATTGGTTTGCACAACCTAAATGTATTGTCTCATAATTATGGAATAGTATGGAGTTTTATGATCTATTAATGTATTATAATTCAATTGTAGTTTAATTCTGTTGGTCTAGAGAGCACTATATTACTCAGGCTGGCCTTGAACTCATGGCAGTTCTCCTGCGCTAGCATCCCAGATTCTGGTATTATAGGCATGAACAAGCAACCTGGCTTAATAGAGTTGTGATTCTTTAATAGAACTTCACAGTTTGAAGCACAGAGTGTGTTAATGACTTTTTTGTTGCTGTGCTTAAAATGCCAGAAGCAACTTAAGGAAAAGTTTGTCTTGGTTCATTGTAAAAAGAAGCCTTTTCCTTGAGAGAAGCCTTCCTGCCAGCCTGGTTCCAGAGCCACATCAGTCCCAAATAAACACACAGGAGGCTATATTAATTATGAAGCTGTTTCTTACTGGCTAGCTCTGACTTAAGTAATTACCCCATAATTGTCAATCTAAGTATGTCTCCTATCAGAGAAGTTTCCGGGCTTCCTACCCCATGGCGTTACATCTCGACTCTCTGTATTTCTCCTACCCAGAGTCCTCCTGGACTCCTAGTCCCACCTATCTTGGTTCCCTATTGGCCCAACAGTGCTTTATTGACATAATCACAGGACTTCCCACATCAGTTCATGATTCCCGAGTGGTAGAATTCACACTGATCTGGATGGCATAGCAGCAGGTGGCCTGAGCAGGAAGCTGGCTGCTGTCTTACCAGGAAACCCAACAGGGCAAGACTATAGACTCCCAAATCCCACTCCTAGGGATTATTTCCTCCAGTAAGACTCCTTATCCTAAACCATCCAAAACCTCCCAAACAGCAACACCGTCTGGGGACCAAGTGTTCAAATACATGAATGAGCCCAGGGGGACATTCCTCATCCAGGCCACCACGTAAGATAAATGAGATCTTTGCTTTTTTAGGTACAACAGGAAGAGATCATCTCTTGGACTTAATTGCCACACTGCTGGTACTGCAGTTTCTTCGTACTAGGTTGGAAAAAGAAGGAATGGTTGCCAAATCACTGCTAAAGATGGATGACACCTTCATCTCCAGGTGCTTTAATGTCCTAATAAGAAATTTTTGTAGGAGCCACAGTATAATTGTTGGCCTCTTCCAGACAACTGTGTGGTCTGGCACAAGAATACAAATGGGAGCCATGTGCCATGTCTAAGTACTTAAAAGTCATGAAGCAAAGCTGGGAAAGTAGCTCAGTAGTAGAGCCCGTGCCTAGTGTACAGGGACATGGCTCAGTTCTGCCATCCTGAGCAACTCACAGGCACTGCATATCAAAGTACCAACCAGGTCATGGTGCCACATTCCTGTAATCCCACCACCCAAGGGCTACAGATGGAAATCTTGATTTACGGGCCAGCTAGGCTACACAGTACAAACAAACAACAGAAAGAAACAAAACCCTATCAAACTATTAAATAAAATACAGGAGAATATTCTGCCCAGCATAGGCATAGTAGCACACACCTTCAATTTCAGACATGTGAATCTCTATGAGTTTGATGCCAGTCTGGTCTATATAGCAAGTTCCGGACATCCAGAGCTACATAATAAAAAGACTCTGTCTCAAGAAAACAAAACAAGACTGGGTGCTGGTGGCACATGCCTTTAATCCCAGCACTCAGGAGGCAGAGGCAGGAAGATCTCTGTGAGTCTAAGGTCATCCTGGTCTACAGAGCAAGTTTCAGGACAGTCTCCAAAACAATACAGAGAAACCCTGTCTCGAAAAGCCAAAAAAAAAAAAAAAAAAAAAAAAAAAAAAAGAAAGAAAGGCTGAGCACTTAGGTGGAGATTTGGGTGGCTGGTGGCATGGCAGGGGTGGGGGAGGGGTGCTGCAGTGGTTACCAAGAATTTTTCACCTTTCCTTTGTTTAGAGACTCTCTAAGTGAGCAGGGTTTGCGGGGGATGGGGTGAGCTGAGCTTTCTGGACCGTGCAAAGGTGAGCCCGAGGCTCCAATTGAATAATCTTGATAAATACAATCCCATAATCACCTGGATAAATGGATTCAAATTTAGCATTGGTTGACTCCTGAGTAAAAGCTGTACAATATCTTACAGTCAAGTGAGATATGGACCCAGCTCCTCACTGTACAGGGTCTCCCAGCCAAGTAAGATACGGACCCTGCTCCTCATTGTACAGGGTCTCCCAGCCAAGTGAGATACAAATCCAGCTTCTCACCCCACACTGCACATCATGATGACCCTTTCCCCAAAGGAAAAAAAAATCAGGAATATGGAAAAGATCTAACATCTTTAACCCCATAGAAACAACAGATTTCTTACACAAACACACACACACACACACACACACACACACACACACACGAATAAATTAAATTACATTTCAAAACTTAGGTGTAAGGGCTGGGGATGTAGCTCTTTACAGCTGACTCTCCAGTGTTCTTCAAGTGTCTGGAACAATTTGAAAACATCAGACAGTGAACAGACATTGAGACAGGGACCTCAGGGACACTGAAAAGGACCAACAGGAAACAAAGTGGCAAGAAAAAGCTGCAGCCAGCCGGGCGGTGGTGGCGCACGCCTTTAATCCCAGCACTCGGGAGGCAGAGGCAGGCGGATCTCTGTGAGTTCGAGGCCAGGCTGGACCGATAGCCTCCAAAACAATACAGAGAACCCTGTCTCGTAAAACCAAAAAAGAAAAAAAAAAAAAAAAAAAAAAGAAAAAGCTGCAGCCGTCCCTCCCGGGAGCAAGCCGGCTGCTGTGCGCAGTGGGATCTGGGAAGTGAGGCAGGTAAGTCATCTAGAAATGTACTGAGTACCTTCAAAATCCCCATGCTAGAGGGAGACAGCTTTATTCAGATTTCAAGAACTGCCTTTATTAAACATTCTTGTTTTGACACTGACAGAATCATTTCATCTGATACAATGTTTTGAATTTGGTACCACATTTGCCTTTCACATATTCTGAACCAATTTTTTTTTAATCTAGGAATATTCCATGGGCTTTTGAGAACATAAAGAAAGCAAATGAGTGGGCCAGAAGGATGGAAGGGCAGTATCCATCTATCTGCCAAAGGCTTGAGCTGGGTAAAGACTGGGAGTCAGCCACAAAGCAACTTCTGGGGATTCAGCCCCAAGCCAACCCTTCTCTTCATCGAATTCTACATAGCAATCAAGGCTGAATGCAATGAAATTGCATTTCAAACAGTTATCATATTTCCTTTTGCTGTTTTGCTTTGTTTTGTTTTTCAAGACATGGTTTCTCTGTATTGTTTTGGAGGCTGTTCTAGAACTCACTCTGTAGACCAGGCTGGCCTTGAACTCAGAGATCCACCTGCCTCTGCTTCCCAAGTGCTGGGATTAAAGGCGTGTGCTACCACCACCTGGCTGCCTTTCTCATATTTCTATGTTGCAAATAATCAAATAGTAAATGGTATCAATAATGACATGAATTAGTTTTGGGGGGTTTTCTTTTTTCCGTGTAGCTACCAGCCCCTTTAAAATAAAATAAATGGAAGCAGAATTGATGAATCATTTAACAACAATAAAAAAAAACCTTTAAAAACTGTGATACTAGAGACATTTTATTCCTCTCTCTGCCCAACCATATCCCTTCCTGTCTTCACCTGCCTAGTGCTGGGATTAAAGGTACATCACTCCAAGTGCTGAATCACCTTGGTGTGAGCTCTGTTTCTCCTTTAGACTGGATCAATTTTGTGTAGCCCAGGGTGGCCTTGAACTAACAGACCCCTCTGCCTAGTGCTGGGATTAAAGGTGTGTGTGTAAGCGTTTCATCGGGATGGGTCAGGACAGGATGGAACAGGAGTGGGTCAGGTATTCTGGCACTCGGGAGTCACAGAATACCCAGTGTTACACAGCTCAGGTGGAAAGGTATCCTGGAGCTCGGGAGCCAAGGACCACCACAGGTTGCAGTAAGCTTGGCAGCTTACAGCCTTGCCTCAGAGTAAGGCTTCTCCGGTGTTATCAGCTCCGCTCCGGCAGGACAGGGTCTTCCAGCTGGGGATGTTCGCCTAGTGTAGCAGTTTTGCTCCGCAGGAGGTTTCTCGGGCGAAGTTGCTACAGTTCAGCTCTGCTCCTGGAGAGCGGAGAGCAGAGAGCAGGGAGCCGGGAGCAGAGTGTAACAACTCCGCTCTGCCAAGGAAGGTTTCCCGGGCAAGTGTTACAGCGCTGCTCGCTCTGCTCTGCTCTGCTCTGCCCAGGGTCGCCTCTGCTTGCTCTGCTCTGCTCTGCCCAGGGTCGCCTCTGCTCTGCTCTGCTCGCCTCGCTCGCGCAAAAGAAGATCTTCACCCGAAGCTCATCCAAAGGGGTTTATTGGAAGACAGCTGGACCAGCCAAGCTGAACATACACAGGGTTTATATAGGGGTTCCTGGGGTTGGGGAAGTTTTTCCAGGGTAGGGATTGGTCCGATTTCAGTGCTGAGCTCAGATTGGCTAGAGCTCTGCTCTGGGATTGGTTACTTTTTTACACAGGATTAGGGTCAGATTTGGCTCTGGTTTCAGGGCCAAAGTGTGTTTCTTTCTCTGGTCCTTTTTAGCCTTTTGGCTCCAATTTTAGGGCCAGGGTACATTTCTTTCACTGACTCTGATTCCAGGGACAAAGTGTGTTCCTTTGGCACTGGTTTTAGGGTCAGGGTACATTTCTTTGGTTCTGGTTGCAGGGCCAAAGTGTGTTTCTTTGGCTCTGCTCAGGGTGTGTTTCTTTGACTGGTCCCTTTTCCCTACAGTGTGCCACCACCGCTGGCCTCGATGGTTGACTCGTGTGGCTAGCTTTGCACTTTGATCTTCAGACAAACTTTATTTGTTAGATCATAAACAAAATATCACCACAGATACTGTCCGAATTATTTAAGTACATACACCAGTGTTGTTCTTTTCCAATAGTTTTCACCCATGGTCATCTTTCCTACCTGGCGGAATCATGCTTCCCCTAATAATGGCACAGAACTTAAAGGCAGGCTGGGACTTAGTAATAGTTGTGACTCAGGCCTCAGGAACTGAGCTGCCCCTTAAAGGCATGTTTTTTTTTTTAAATAAGGGGAGACGTTTAATAGCCAGTTTGAAGTCAGTGTTGTCTTCTTTTGTTGTAGGAATGGAGCCTAATTGGAGGTAAATCTTAGTGCACAAACCTTAGCAGAAACTTTCTCAGCAACCCAAAACTTCAATTTTGGCACAAAGATTTCCTTCCAAGAGTTTCTAGTAGTCCTGGTTATTATACTACTTATCTTCCAGTTATAATGGAGGCAGGTTTATTAGTAAATCCATTATAGCATCAATATTATTCGTTTCTCTAGCATCAACTCCACACCTGCCTCTGATATTTTCAATTTAACAAAAGGCAGGGGAACTTGGGAACACAAAACTGAGTTCTACCCTCAGAACCCACGTGGTGGAAGGAAAGAACTTATTTCTGCAAGTTGTCCTCTGACTGCCACATGTGTGCTCTCTCTCTGTCTCTCTCCCTCTCCAACCTTCACCTGGCAGGCAGACGCTGTATCACTGAACTACATTCACACTCCAACAGTTTAAGTCTGATGAAATATGTATTATTTGAGACAGTGTCTTGCTGTGTAGGTTGACCTTGATTGAATTCCCCAAATCCTCTCATCTCAGCCACTGTTGGAATTACAGGTTTGAGTTACTGGACAGGTCATCCTCTCTTCATTTCAGTGTGTGTGTGTGCGCGTGCGCGCGCGTGTCTGTGTGTGCGCGCGCATGTGCCCGCGTCTGTGTGTGGTGTGTGTATTCTCATGCGTAAAAACTCTCGGGCAGTCCGCACGCAGGCAGGTCTCGTTAACACGGAGGGTCGCTTTCCCAGAACCCTCAAGGTCTCCCTCCCAGGGAAGTCAACAGCAAGCCTCCTCAGGCAGACGCCCTTCTCGGCATCCAGGAGATAAGCACTAGGACCGCCCCTCGCGCTGCCCTCTAGACACCCCTTCCGCTCTTCCTCTGGTAGCGTTCTTCCGTCCTTCCACCCGCCCATCCACTTCCCGTGGGCTCCTCAGGGCGCTGGAGGTGGGGCGCCTCTTGTGATTGGCTACTACGTGTGTCAATCAGGGTGTCGGCGCCCACAATTGGCTGGCTCTCCTCAGGTCGGGTCACGCCGCAGAAGAGGATTAAGGCGGAGCGGCATGCGCACGGAGCTGTCTCGCTGTGCGCCTCCGGCGGTTTTTCGCGTCGGTTTGTAGGGCGCTTGTGATGGCGGCAGCCGAGGAAAGCATGAGTGTGGCCGCGCTGGCAATGTCAGTCCCCGACAGCACTGTCGGGTCTCCCGGGGCCGTGGGAGAGGGAGTGGGAGTAGCGGGCGAAGAGAAGGACGCCACCACTAAAGGAGCGGAGGCCGTTGGGGACAGCGAGGAGGATGGGGACGACGTGTTCGAGGTGGAGAAGATCCTGGACATGAAGTGCGAGGGAGTATGTGGGGGCTGCGCGGCCGGGCCGGGGCGGGCACGGTGGGGGAGAATCGGGCGGGACGCCCGGCAGCCTGCAGGACGGATGTGTCGGGCGAGCGCAGAGACTTCTCGGACAGGACCCTGGCCGGCAGCGTCTGTGCAGCATGGATGCTTAGGGAAGTTTTGAGCGTTGTTTTGGCAGAAGAGACGAGGCAGTGTCACGTAATGTTGGGAATAGTAGGGTGCCGGACAGCTGCTGGGGGCCTTCTGTTCCTTCGACGTTCGGGTATACGGTTAGGGCCATTGCTCTCCGTTAGGGAAGGTCTGGTGGAAATCATACGAGTCGTCATGTCCATTCTCCTCCACCCCGCTGTCCCAGTGTTTTCTAAAAGTAGGAAATGCTCTGGGGCTTAAATTCAGGAATTCCCATCCGTCTTCACACGAAGCCCCAATCACACCGAGTAAACGTTTCCGAAACTTAGGTGTCATCTGCGCGTTTTATGATTGTAACCGAGATTTAGAGTAAGGTTGAAAGGAAAAGCTCAGCACATCGTACTTGGGCACTTCACATCCTCCTTGCCGAGACTGCTGTCCAGGAGAAATTCTTACTCTCCTTCCAAGTCTCGGGGTTCCTCTGTGTGTGATGCCTTTCCAAGCCCTTCCCTTTTCCGATCCCTGCAGTCTGCTTTCTCATCTGTGACTGTGGAGGCCTCCACTTAAGCCATTGCCTTGTATCTCTATTTGCCTTTTCTGCTCTAGATCTGCTCGTGGGCTCTTTTACTCCGGAATGTGCATTTTATTCATGTGTGAGTCACTGATACTGAGTCCAGTAACAGCATCTGCCCATCTTTTTTTGTGGTCAGTACAATGCTATACCATGTTTTGTTTCTGTTGTATTTTCTGTTGTTTGTTATCTGCCATATGCTATCTTTTGTCTGTTAACTTTTTTGTCCTTCGACAAACTTGTTTTGTTTTGTTTTTTTAATCAACTGCTGTTTACCATGTACTATCTTAACTTGATGGTAGAGAGATTCCCCCGCCCCCTTTGGTTTTTCGAGACAGGGTTTCTCTGTGGCTTTGGAGGCTGTCCTGGAACTAGCTAGCTCTTGTAGACCAGACTGGTCTCCCACTCAGAGACCTGAGTGCTGGGGTTAAAGGCATAGACCACCACCACCCAGCTGAGGTTTGGTTTTATTTTGTTTTTTTTAAGGCAGTGCCTTTCTCTAAGAGGCCCCTTTTTGTTTTGTTTTGTTTTGTTTTGAGACAGGTTTTCTCTGTGTACAGGCTTTAAAACTCAAAAACCTGCCTGCCTCTGGCTCCTGGATGCTGGGATTAATGATATGTTTGGTCACTGCCTGGCCTAATGGTACAGGTTTTTGTTTGTTTGTTTGGTTGGTTTTTTTTTGTTTGTTTTTTTTTGGTTTTTCGAGACAGGGTTTCTCTGTATTGTTTTGGAGGCTGTCCTGGAACTCACTCTGTAGACCAGGCTGGCCTCGAACTCACAGAGATCCACCTGCCTCTGCCTCCCGAGTGCTGGGATTAAAGGCGTGCGCCACCAACGCCCGGCTTGTTTGTTTGTTTTTAAGAAAAATGTTTAGTCTTTATTTTATTTTATGTGTATGAGTCTGTATGTATGTCTGTGCTCACGTGTGTGCCCAGAGAAGAGGGCATTGGGTCTCCGGAAACGAGTTACAGATGGTTTTTAGCTGCCACATGGGTGCTGGAAATAGATCCCAAATTTTCTGGAAGAGAAACCAGTTCTCTTAGCCATGAAGGCTTTGCTTCAGGCTTTGCTCCGGTTCTACCCCTCTCACACCACCTGGTTTTTTAGGTAGGATCTCTCTCTGAAGCCCAGGCTGGCCTAGAGCTTGGGACCCTCTTGCAGTTAATGATAAAGGAAATTTCTCCTGTCAAGCTTGAGTTAAATAATTGAAATTCAGTGACTTTATGGAACTAGAGAGAGGGCCAGTGTTCAGATCCCCAGAGTCCAAGTAAAACTGGGTGCAAGTCTAGTTGTAGAGCTGTTCAGTTTTGAACAACTAGGCAAGATTCAAGACTGAGTGTGTCCTTTGAGGTTTACCTGTGACTGTGGCAAACCCACACCTACACTGTGCCCACATGTGTGAATTGGCTACACATGGATTCTGGGAGCCAAACTAGG